GTGCTAAAGGGACCCAAGTGACCTCTTTCCCTTTTACACCTCACTTGTTTCCAGATTTATCATTAAATATCTACCATAGTTATATTATATATAATATATGATATAATATGTATGTGAGATATATATACACATACACACATATTTATGTAATATAATATATATGTATATTATGTATATATGTATAAAGTTATATCTTTGGGGTTACCCAAAGAGAAGAGTTGATCATTTTGAATAATACATGAGACCTTCCAACTCAAATAGAGGAGGGCAGGAGACCACACCAGGTGTTTGCGCACTGTGAATGGGAGAGTAGTGAGAAATATGAAGCATTCCTGTAAAACCTTTATAAGGATGTTTATGTTCCTGCAGTCTTGGGATTCAGCCTGTTCCATCATCAGACTTTGGGTCTGTCAAGGGAGGGTGTAGATCACCCTCAAAGTCTTTGCAATAGTAACAGCTAATATTTAGCAAGTCTCCAAGACTGTAAGTTGCAGATTAGCAGCAGAGGAAGAAATGTCCACACTGGAAGTTCCTAGGTTTACTGATGAAATCACAGGTCTGGAACCCTCCAACCCCCCCCTCCCCAATATGATATAGTTTTAAAGTTTATAACATGCTTTCTTCACAGCAATCCTATGGGTAGGTGGTATGTATCCGTATTTTACAGATGAGGAAACTGAGGGTCAGAGACATTAAGTGACTTGACCAGAGTCACACAGCCTAGAAGAGTGTGAAAGCCAGGATTCAAACTTTGCTGCAGCCTCCAGATGCATTGCACTTTTACTGTGTTGCTTCTTTCATAAATTAGGTAACGTCTGGAATGGTTTAGGATTGACTGACCTGGAAAGAGAGGACTGGATTAGTGAAAAAGACAAGAGTAGGGCAACTGTGGAACCCTTCTGTAGTAAGAGGGGTGAGGAAGCTGGTCATGGACTCTTTGCCCAAGAGTCCTCTGTACCACTGGTTTCTCAGAGTAGTACCCTAAAACTTAGATAGAATCCTAGAACTTGTCATCAGAAGATCAAAGAAATTTAACTTTGGAAAGAACGTTTGTGGAATAGCTAGGTGGCACAATGGAGCGCTGGCCCTGGAGTCAGGAGGATCTGAATTCAGATTCATTCTCGGACACTTACTAGCTGTGTGACCCTGGGCAAGTCACTTAACTCCAACTGCCTCCAAAAAAAAAGATAGAAAGACAGAACCTTCATGATGAGCTAGCCCAACATTCTTTCTCATTTTACTTAAATAATAGTTTGTGAAGTTGGCAAAAGAAGTAATCCCCATTTAACTGTTAGCAATAAAATGAAAATATATGTAATTTTTTTTTGCAAACCTAAAAACACTGTATAAAAATTATTATAATAACCAATCACTTCTTTCTTGAGATTAGGTCGTCTATGCTGGAAGTACTGAGGTCATTTACTGACCCAATCCCACTACTGATAAGTATGGAAGCTTAGAGCTGCTCTGTTTCTATTCTGGGTCAGTTTGCTCCTCATTAGGCAGCCTCATGGTGCCCTGCTCCTGGGGCCTTTCCATATTGGTGTAGACCCTTGGTCAGCTTTAGGTTGACTGTAGTTCCAAACTCCTGAGCTCAAGTGATTAGTCTTAGTCTCCCCAATAGCAGGAATTATAGGCTTGGTTGGTGGAAGCATCAGAGCATCACTTTGCTTATGTAACCCTGAATTACCATGGTGATTAGAGATGCTCCAGTAAATGCTATCCCTGAAATCCCAGTTCTAAAACATCACTAACTGGTGGACTTTGTAATAGCATCTTGAACATCCCTCATCTCCATGGAGACTGAAGTTGCATTTACAAGATCTTCTGTTAGCATGTAGGAAAAAGGAAGGATGTGGTTTTTATCTCTGTGTTTCTATAGGGATTAGGATATTGCCCTGCTTTTTTAAAAAGATATTCTTTCAATTCTTGTTTATCTCTACTGGGACCAATTGGATCCAGAGACATTCTACTCCCTACTGTAGGACATATTTGATAAAGTAACTGGTGTAGTAGAAAATGCCTTGACTTTGGAATTAAAGGATCTAGCTTCAAATCTTGGGTCTGCTAATCAATACCTATATGGTCTTAAGCAAGTCAATGTCTTGACTCAGTTTCTTCATCTGGAAAATGGAGGGTTTGGAGTGGATAATCTCTAAAAATCCCTTCTAGCAGTAATATTGAATCCATTAAAGTACTCAAGGATCAAACCTGAGAGGCAGCATGGTATACGTAACAGAGTGCTACACTGTGGATCAAGAGAAGCTGAGTTCAAATCTTGTCTCTGAAACTTATTATCTGTTTGCCCTTGGCCAAGTCATTTAACCCTCTCTGAGCCTCACTTTCTTCATCTGTAAAATGGAAATAATCCCTGCAGTGTCCCTTGCAGGGCTGTTGTGAGGTTCAGATGGGCTAATTGTAGGTGGAGTACTTTGCAAGTACCATGTAACTCAGCCATTATTACTCATACCACCGATTATTGTGAAGCGGTGGCTGGCAGGCTACCACAGGCTCTCCAGCTGGCGGCCTGAAAGCTAAGAATGTTTTTAACATTTAAAAATAAACTTTTATTGTATTGAAAAATGGAAAAAACCATTCTTAACTTCAGGGCTGACCAAAAAAAGCCAGTAGTTTGCCCTCCTGATGCGTAGGCTCATAGATCATTATCATCTAACCTAGTTTTACTGCCAAGGTCGTTCAGTTCTGGGTCCAGTTTGTAAAACAAATACAGCAATTTTTCATCTGGTTCATAACTTTACACTTATGGCCTAGAAACCCACTCATATGTGCCTAAAAGTAAATACTTCCTTCTAACTCAGTAATTTTGTTTCCCTCAAGTTGCAAGATGAATGCATTAGGGCCAAAAATCTCCTCCTCCAAATGTTCTTGAAACATGTCAGTGCAAGAACATTCTGATACAAGATGAAGGTTGGAGGTATAAACTGCCACTTGCAGGAACTTCAGTGATTTATTGGCTTTCCCTTTAGTGCCACCAAACCTGACCAAACTGCCACTGAACCCTGTGCCTTTCCACACCTAGCCCCTCTCCCTCATATCTTTTCAGCCTTTATAGAGACTTTAGAGAGGGAAGAAAAAATGAGGCAAGAAAATAAATAGAGAGCATACTAGTAAGGGTGTTCTTCAGTGGGTTAGCCTCTGTTAAATATGAGGTGGTAAGAGCACAGCCCCCAAAGAAGAGCCACAATAATGCTTCTCTAATTACTCCACCTCAGATATTTCCAGTCTTCAAGGATCTGTAATGTCATTGATATCAATACCTTCTTGTCCTGACGCATAGTACAACATTTCAATAACTTATTGGATGGTGTTTAATAGTTGCTGGGGCTGAAAAATTCATCCTCTTATGACCAATCTGTGGATGAACCTTTCTGAACTTATATCTAGGCTAGACTTTAGTTTATGGCCCACACTCGAGCCTTTTCAGTGTAAGGATGATTGTCTCTGTACCCAAAGACCCGGGGCTTAAATTCTTCCTCTGATACTACTTTTGAGGGAGTCGTTAGACCTTAGTCTCCTTATCTGTCATATGACAGAGTTGGGCAGATGATCCAGAAGGTCCCTTCGAGCTCCAAAGCTATCCTATTCTTACAATTGTAACACTACCTTTGACAGACCCACTGAATCAGCAGTTATTCCTGTTCACTGGCCAATGAAGGGATGGCTTCATGATCTCAAAGCACCAAGTCCTTTTTGGGCTTGAGTCCCTCATGTCCTTGGAGTCCTCAGAAGTTTCCAAGGGAGGGTTCACATATGTTCCTTGGGAAGGACGCTGTAGCCCATGACCACTCATTCTTCACAGGCCAGAGTCTTTGCTTTGTATATACCTTGTATATACCAAATAATACTTTGTATTATTTGGTTTGGTAAGCATTGGCAGAGCTTACATCCTATTGACTTTGCATTCAGGAGCCCAGAGTCATCTCCGATGAAGCCTTGGAAGAGTACTAATGCTGAAGAACCTCAGATACCGGGGAGAATATTTCCTTTGGTTGCCAGGAAAAGCAGCCAGAAAGAGTTGGTGATTTTTTTTCTTTAAGGTCTACCTTTTCCAGAAAGTTCTAGATTAACTCATACTGAAATAATTTTGTAGAATTACAAGCAGACAAAATGATCACCAGTCCTCTTGTAAGTGCTGCAGTGAATTGTACATATTGAAATAATTTCTATTGATGTTGTTATGCCTGTCTTCCTTTTTCATTCTAGAAAATCCTTTAGAATAAGATCTACTTCTTACTTTGTACCCACTATTAAATAGAATGTCATATACCTTGGGGATGCTCAATAAACATATACTTGGTGGACTCCCTGTCCTTCTGTTCATTTCATTTAATACCTCTCCATCAATCCTCAAGTTTCATTCTCCTTCTAATTTGGCTATGAGTTCTTCCTCACTTGTCTCCTATATCTATTATTGGTTGAATACCTGACAGGGAATCTAGCCATGCAGGGGGAAAGGATGGTGGTTGACTGCAGCATATGTGGAGCCCACTTTCAAGGCTCATTGCTGTGTACATAGGTAGTATGAATGCATTGTGCTCTTTTGAAATTATTCAGTCCAGCAGACATGGATTTTGATCCAGGGCTTAAATTCTTCCTCTGATACTACCTGTATAACTTTGAGGCAGTCATTAGACCTTAGTCTCCTTATCTATCATATGGTGGAATTGGACAGATGGCCTAGAAGGTCCCTTCCAGCTCCAAAGCTATCCTATTTTTACAATTGTATCAGTGGCTATTCTATTAGTATTTGTGTCAGATTGACCCATTCAACGTGCAGGTTGATTCAATATTTCATTAATTTATGTACATTTTTCTGCATCATTGGTTCCAGAAACTTTTGAGGTTTTATAAGACCAGAGAAATATCTGGGTTTAAAGAAGGTTCTAAAACTTTGATACACATTGCTGCATCCATGAAAATGGTGACCCGTTTTAAATTAAGGGCCCCACTTGACATTCTCCTCTTCTTTTCCTCCCCAGGGCATAGAACTTTGTATGTTGGAGTCCGGATGCCTTTGGGACGGCAGAGCCATCGGCATCATAGAACTCATGGCCAGAAGCACCGGAGACGAGGCCGGGGAAAGGTTGTCAGTCAGGGAGAAGAAGGGCAAGGGTCTCTTGCCCATGGTAAATATATTCAAGGTGGATTCAGTAGATGCTATCCCTACAAGTTTAAGTTTAGGTAACATTAAAACAATGAATATTTGATTTCTCTTAATACTTTGACTAGGTAGGCTGAATTTTGTAGTCTGTTTGAGGATAGTTTTTCAGAGCTTACTTCCAAGAATGAGGCACGTTACTAATCTGCCTCCCCCTAGATGTTCTCCTCCTAAAAATTTGATAACTCAGGTTCAAAAACTTATTACCATAAGAGGTAGTAATTGATTTTTGGCAGGGGGAGAGGATAGGGGCATTGAATTAAATTGACCATTCATATCGATCCCAATCAGTCTGGTATTTGTCAAATTTTTATTTCCTTTGTGCTATCTAGACATGGACTTGGCAAATGAAATTTCATATTTATGAAACTGTCCCAGTACATTTTTTTTCTGGCAAAAAAAGCAACCTCTTTGATCTTTGTACTTAGTATTGTCTTTTATATATCTTTAAAAGTCCAGATGCTGTTGAGAGGTGCCGAGGAAAGTAGATGCTGCTTTCATTCTAGATGGAGGCTGTGACCAGATGTTTCTTCTTTGATAATTTCCTAGACACACCTTCCCAGCGTGTTCAATTCATTCTTGGCACTGAGGAGGATGAAGAACATGTGCCTCATGAATTGTTCACAGAACTGGATGAGATCTGTTTAAAGGAAGGAGAGGATGCTGAGTGGAAGGAGACAGCCAGGTAAAGTCCTTAGAATAACCATGATGAAGATGGGGATATTTATTTTATCTTCAGCCTGACTTCTTATGTTGTTTTGTAGGAACAGATATATCTGATGCAATTTCCTGACGTTTCAGAGACCATTCCTCACTTTACCCTTGCTCCCCCAGTCAGGGATATTTCAGGTGACTTAGTGTACCTGTTAGTAAGTAAGGTAGATGCTGAGACTTTGAGCTCCTCTAAACATCTGATCCAGAACCTGATGATCACAGTGTTAGAGGTCTTGTCTGGTGCAGGCCTAAAGAGCTTTTGTTCTCAGTCTGGGAGCTCAACACACCCAATTAAGTCCCAGACAAGTAATATTTCTTTAGGGGCCATTTTGGTTTTCCATTCAGTAGAATCCTGTAAGTCCCAGGCCAAACCTAAATTCCTGGGTTGTTCAGTTGTTTCAGTCGTGTCCGACTCTCATGACCCCATTTGGGGTTTTCTTGGCAAAGATACTAGAGTGGTTTGCTGTTTCCTTTTCCAGCTCATTTTACAGACGAGGAAACTGAGGCAAACAGGGTTAAGTGACTTGCCCAGGGTTGCATAACTAGGAAGTGTCTGAGACCAGATTTGAATTCATGAAGAAAAGCCTGGCAGTTTATCCACAACACCAAATTCCTGGGAGAGCACAGAAAACTTAATCTCTCTGTATTGCTAAGCCAACCCAATACTAGACTTCCTTGGATGGCTACATGCCCCTATGAGACGTTTTTCTTCCTTTGCCCTATTCTCCCAACCCTCCAAGTTGCCCTCAAATTAACCAGGGTATTGGGCAATGTTAGGAGTCTGTAACACTCTTATGTGGTAAATGTCAGAAGCCAACACGACCCAGCTTTTGTGAGCTTCAGAGTAGCTATATTTATAGCAATTCAGCTGTGGCTATACTTGGTACATTTCTCCTGTGCTACTTCCAATATCCTTTGACTCCAAGATGCATTTTCTGTTGGAAGAACTGGGCAAGGCCAGTAGTCTTAGAGTCAAGGGGAAACATAATGACTTTCATTCTTCAGACTATTTCATGCACTTATTAAAGTCACATGTAACACTTTGAGTGAAAAACAGCAACATGGATTTATGGCACTTCTAAAAGTACTCAAAAGGATGTGAATTAGAACTCAGTGTGCACAGTGCAGTCATCTAGATCCTCTCTGTATTTTTTACAAATTGTTTGTACAACTTCCCCTTGAAACTTACTCACCTAGTTTTGATGCTTATCAAATAACACTTTTAGGTGGTTGAAATTTGAGGAAGATGTAGAAGATGGGGGAGAACGCTGGAGCAAGCCTTACGTGGCCACTCTTTCATTACATAGTCTGTTTGAGCTGAGGAGCTGCCTCATTAATGGAACAGTCCTCCTGGACATGAGAGCAAACAGCATCGAAGAAATTTCCGGTAAGGGGATTCCAGAGCAAACCAGGACTAGAACCCAGTCTTGGCTTCCTATCCATTGACTTTGTATTGGCCTGTGTGACTGCCTTGCAGTTTTTTAATAAGCTCACCCATTTACTGCTTCTGGCCCTGGCCCGCCATGGGGGTGGAATTTGGGGATGGGTAAAGTGTTTGAGTGGCAGAGGAAAAAGCCAGGGAGGGCTAGAGCCACATTGCCACCTTAGACACGTTCAGTGATGAAAACACCTGACACCTGTTGGTAATTGGCTAAGGTGAGTGTGCAAAATATGCATGGTTAAGTAAAATGGATTCTGACATTGGCTATCTCCAATGGACCTTGAGTCCATCAGTTCTGTATAAGGAAGTGGTAGCATGCTTCATCATGGTTCCTCTGGAATCATGGTATCTTCTTTTTCTGTGGTCTTTTTAAGGTAAGGAAATTCTTCAGGTTTTTGACAGTAAATTGTCCATTTATTGTATGTTAAGAATTAACACTCTATTAAGTAGGCTATTTATTTCCATAAAGGAATTTACCAAGCAAAGTAGCAGGGTCAGTCACTGTACACCTAGAGTACATTGTACATTCCTTACCAATATCCTTATACATACATATCAATAGGGAATAGAAAATGCTTAAGGAATTTCAATCTGCAGAGAATTCCCAAACCTCCCTTTTTGCTAACTCAATATGATGACTTATCAATCAAAAAAGCTAATGGGATCTTGGGCTAAATAAGAAGAGCACAGATTTCAGGAATAGATAGATAATCATCCCACTGTATTCTGCCCTGATCAGAGCTCTTCTAGAGTCTTGTGATCAGTGCTAGGCACCATGGTTTATGAAGGACAGCTATAAGCTGACAAGAATCTGGAGAAGGGTAACCTGGGATGTGAAGGGCCTTGAGACTATAGACCAGGGGGTGGGGAACCTGTGGTCTTCAGACCACATGTGGCCTTCTAGGTCCTTAAGTGTGGCTTTTTGACTGAATCCAAATTTTGCTGAACAAATCTTCTGTAAAATTTGGATTCAGTCAAAAGGCCTAGGACCTAGAAGGCCACATGTGGCCTGAAGGCCGCAGGTTGCTGACCCCTGGCCTTGAGTCTGTAGAATGCGGGGCTATTTAGCTTGAAGAGAAGACTCGGGAAGTATGACAGCCATGCTCAAGTATCCGAAGGGCTATCGTATGGAGGAGGGATTCGATTTGTATTGTTTGGACCCAAATTGCAGAACCAGGAGCAGCAGAGCCTAGAATGTCACAAAAGCTCCTTAATAAGTACAACTTTCCAAAAGTGGAACTGGGCTGCCTTGAGAGGTAGTGAGTACTGATAACCTCCTCGTAGGTCTTCAAGCAGAGACTAGATGACCACTTGTTTGGTATATCATAAAAGGGATTTCTTTTGTTTATGAGTTGGCCTAGATGGCTGCTGAGGTCTCTTCTAACTCTCAAATTCTGTGTTTCAGCGACTGAGAGCCCGCGAGTCTCGGAAAGTTAGAGCCGAAAGGAATCTACTCCAACTTGCTTATTTTATAGTTAAAGGAACTGAGCTCCCAGGATGTGAGGTGCTCTGCTCAGGTTCACAAGGCTCATTAGTGGCAGAGCTAGGAGCTAAAACCGTAGTCTCACAGACTGCAGTCTGGTTTTCATGCTACATTGTCATACCATGCTACATTAACTCATTTTTATCAGAGCTGTTAATAATTATTTGTATTTTCTCTCCTCAGCCTATGTCTGTTCCCCCCTTCATAGAAATAAATGATCAGTTAGCTATTTGACTCATTTTTCTGGATTCCATACTCTTTTCTAGCTAAACTCACCCTTTCTTAAAACCTCCCTCCCTCTTCTGCTAAGATGGAATCCCCAGTTCATCAGGGGCCACCACCACCAGAGACTGGTTTGGAATTTGATGGTATTTTTTTCCTTATTGCTATCTATCCCACAAATGAAAAGCTTGTGCAGGAGAAGGAGGCTGGTTTACCCTATTCATATCGTTCACCAATAGCTGCTCCTACTATCTAATGGCTTGATACCATAGCTCCATTTCCAGTAACCTCCCCTGGAACTCCCTCTTATATCCTTTGAACGGGTTGACTCTGTTTGAGCTCTATTGGACAGGTAGCTGTTGCTTTTCAGACCTGATCCTGGACCAGCAGGAATTGTCCAGTGACCTGAATGAGACCATGCGAGTCAAAGTGCGGGAAGCTCTTCTGAAGAAGCATCATCATCAGAATGAGAAGAAGAGAAATAATCTCATTCCCATCGTGCGCTCCTTTGCTGAGGTTGGCAAAAAGCAATCAGACCCAAATTCTTTGGACAAAAATGGTAAGATTTGGAGAGTTGAACCTGTTTGTCTTTTATTCATGTCGATGAGACATCAGGGAATCTGTTGTTGGATGGTAAACTCCTAGGAGTCAGCAACCATAAATTTGTCATAATGTGGATAGTATTTAGTAAACTGTTATGCACAATAGAATGATAACTTTTCAATGACTGATGAATGAATGACTAGAAAAAGAACTTTTTCACTTACCCTACCCAAAGATTTTTTGGGTCTAGGCTGGTACTGGCTTAGCTGGGAGGTAGCCTTAGACCTCTGAGTTTGGTTGGGTTGCTGTATGTACTCTGGGGTATTAAGATGAGAGTATACTCACAACTGATCTTGCCTGCTAAGGTTAGCTTCCAAATTAGGGATGACTTAGGGTTAGGTTGGATCAATTGGGACTACATTTTCCTTTGTACTGGATAGGCCTTCTGGGGCTGGCAAGGATAAATTGGCCTAGCACAGTTCCTGGCACATAGTAGGCACTTGTAATACATACTGATTGATAGACTCCCTGCAGTTTGGGAGCAGGGATGGAAATTTGTTTTCATTCTTGATTTCTCCACATCTGATTCCCTTCCTTTTCCCCCACCCCACTGCCTAAATCATGAAGCAGTTGGGTAGTTCCCTCTCCACCTCCTGCTATTTATTAATAGTACTTTAAGGGTGTCAAAATGCTTTACTTAAGTTACTTCATTGAATCCTCATAACAACCCTGTGCTAAGTGAAATGGAGGCCAAAAAAGGGCAAAAAGGGACTGTTATAATCCCCATTTTACAGATAAAGATTTTGATGCTAAGAGAGGTTAAATAACTTGCCTATGTTCACACAGCTAGTAAATACCTAAGCTAGACTTTGTAGGTATAGCCTATGTCCAGATGCTGTTTTGGACCTGTTGGAGTAAGAGGTTGAGGGAAGTCTTTATTTTACATGAAGGCAAAGGAAGGGGCTAGAAGTGTCTCTGCCAAGGTGAGAGGCCAGCGATGGAAAGTCCTGATTAGCCTGAAACTGGGAAGAGGACAAAAACCCAGGCTTGCGGGCGTCCAGACATCACAGACCCTAAGAACCCTTTGCTAGTGCAGTCTTGGCAGGAAATCTGCATATTCTTCTGATGGGGATTGAGGGGGCAAAGGTGGTAAAGGGAAGAGTCAGAGAATTCTTTTTTTCCTCTCACAGGTCAAACAGTGTCTCCTCAGTCAGTTCCTACTGCAAATCTTGAAGTAAAAAATGGAGTAAATTGTGAACATAGTCCTGTTGATTTAAGTAAGGTGAGTGGAAAAAAAACCGTGAAATTAGAATAATATTGGTCTATTGGTCCAAGAGGCATTATCTTTAGGGATTTCTATTTTTCTGGAATTGAGGAATATTTTAACTGTGGGGTGTATCTCTATAAAACCTGCTTTTTTTCAGAAAAGGAGGCCCAAGTTTCTCCCCATAACTCTGGGTTGTAGTCAAATTACCAATTTAATTGTATAAATTGGTACAATCCACAGGTTTATAAGGAATTAGTCTGAGCTTCAAATGTATTTGTGATTAGGAAACATTCTGATTTAGTTCAAGCCTTGTTGCTTACATTTCATCAGTGCATGACTGGAAAATATGGGCAAAGGAAAAAGAAAATTGGGTAGGTTGGTAAAAATGTGAGAGACTGGGAGTAATAACAATTTACATTTGTGAAGTGCTTCAAAAGGTTTCTAAAGTACTTGTCCTACTTTCCTCATTTATATACCAGAACCATGTGTATAAATAGTATAAGGATTTTTGCACTGTAGGGGCCATCATGGCATAGTGAATAGTGCTAGATTTCTCTGGATGGCCTGGGTTCAAATCCTGCCACTTCTTTGCTATGTAGTAATGGGCAAGTCACTTAAATTCTCTGAGCCTCAGTTTTGTCATCTGTAAAATTAGAGGAGTGGACTAGATGATCTTTTTTTTTTTTTTTTACTTAGGCAGTTGGGGTTAAGTGACTTGCCCACGGTCACACAGCTAGTAAGTGTCAAGTGTTTGATCTGAGGCTGGATTTGAACTCAGGTCCTCCTGACTTCAGGGCCGGTGCTCTATCCACTGCGCCACCTAGCTGCCCCCTAGATGATCTTTAAGGTCCCTTCTAACTCTAAATCTGTGAGTCTATGATTCCATTTTACAAATAAGGAAACTGAGACTCAGAGAGTTCATTGGCTTGCCCTGGAGTCCCCAGGGTCTCCTGACTTCCCATCTTGCTCTCTTTTCGCTACAACCTGCTGTCTCTGAAGGATTTTAAAAAATATCTCCATGAAGTTGAGTTAATTACTTGGAATTATAGATTTACAAATTACTGTGCTCACTTTTTGACTTTGTTGGGAAGTGAATTTCTGACACTGAAATTTGACACCCATATTTGCACAGGACTCCTGATCCATCTGAATTGTTCTGATAGCCTTCCACCCATTGAGTGCTCTGACAAAACCTTCACTTTGTTAATTCTGTTAAAACTACCTGGTGATAGAATGTTCTTCTTGGGACCCACTTCATTTGGCATCACTTTAGAGCAGGGCTGCTTTATTTCTTTTGTGTTCTGGACATCTTTGGCTGGCTAGGGAAGCTCCTGGACCCCTTCTCAGAACTATGTTTTGATATACATAAAATAAAATATCTAGGATTGCAAAGAAAAACAATTATTTTGAAATACAGTTATCCAAGTACTAAAAATTCCAAGTTCATGAACCTCAGGTCCAAAAGCCTGCCTTTTTTTCAAACTTCTCTTTCCAAACCACTAGGCACCACAGTCAAAATTTAGGGGAGTAATTATTATGGAGAAGGGGTCCATCTGCCTCCCCCTACCCCAGTAGCATCTGCTGACTGCAGACCAACAGGCAGATAGGCGCAGGAGCCCTGGGAGTAGCAGCAACCCCCCTTCCACCTTCCACACTACTGATTATGCTTCTAACCCAGTTCTCATGGCCATCTTCCAGGGAAACAACTTCTGTGTAGAAGGGGCCAGCCATCCTCACCAAATGCCAACCAACTGCTGTACTTAGGGCAGGCAAGCCAGTGTAGCTGAAGCAGCAGGGCACCCAAAGGGAGAGACAGAAGGCAGCTTGTGCCAGGCAAGTCAAACCAGCACCACCACCTTGGCTACCATGTCCCTTCAAACCCTGATGGAGACAGCCTAGGACCCAAGAGCCTTGGAAACAGTAATACTTCCAGCCCAGTGCCCATAGCCATCATCCTGGGAAGCACCTCTTCCCTGGGGAGAAGCTCCTGTAGGTGCTACAGTCTCATCTACTGAAGACCCAGGAAGGAAAGTTCTTGCCACCAGAGTCCTTGGCACTATCAAGTGTTTCAACATCAGAGATTGATAGATTTGTATCAGTGGAGATGATGTTAAAGAAGAGGCATGGCCATATGCTTTGCCACTATTACCTAAAGACTGTGGGGTTTTCCCACCTGACTTTCAGCTGCAGCCTCACATGTGGGTTGCCTCCCTTGTTAGAATGTGAGGTCCTTCAAATTAGCACTGTTTCACTTTTCTGTTTGTATTACTAGCACTTAGCACCTGTGCTCTCTATATAGTAGGTACTTAATACATACATTCATTCATTAATTTCTAGGGCCTGTGATTGCATTTTAGTTAGCTGCCACCAGTAGAACAGTGATGCTTTGAGTTGTGGCCAAGAGGAGAAAACCTAGTTGGGTTTTGAAGACAGTGTGATAAGAAAGAGTACTGGCCTTGGAGTTAGGGGAGACAAGGGTTCAAATCCTACCTCTTATACTTATTAGTTGTGCAAGCACAAACAAGTCACTTCTCTGAAGGCTGTTTCCTCATTAATAAGATGAGGTAGTAATATTTTGTGATACTTACCTCCCAGGTAGAAGAACATGAAGGAGTAGCACTCCCTTCTCTGACTTCCAAGTCAAGCCTGGTATTATAGAACTTTTGAGTGGGGCCACCCTGCAGCCTGCAACTTGCTGTTTCTTAGATTCCTAAGAAAAGTGTCATCACACTTGTTAGGATGCTGACCCAGGGTATCACCAGAGCCCGATTGGCCAGTGTTTCAGGGCTCCCACCAGATGTTCACGGTTGCCATGGCAACTCAGGGCACTTAAAGTCCTCACTGTACATCATTCTGGCTGGTATTTCTTTACTTGAAGTTATGGTCAAGCCTCTTCCCCACAATATGGATGATGGATTTGACTTTGATGGAGTTATTTTTGTTATTGTCAGGCTTTCTATAGTATTCTGAGAAAAAAAGATAAGGCATGTGATAGAATTATACTTTTCCTTAAGAGCACAAACATCAACTAGACCTAACTCCTTATCAAAAATTTAAATTTAAATTTTAAAAATATAAAATTAAAAAATATAATTATGACAAATGGCCAGTTATGACCATTAGCAAACAGTTTAAAGGAGATCATCAAGATTAGAGTAAAAAAAAAAAATAGGTACAAGTTTAATAGCTTCCCCATTTAACTCCCATGGTTATTAATCACTGTTCAGTCTAACCCTGATATTCTGCAACCTAGAACCATGTGTAAAGACTAGAAGTTTGGGGGGCTCATGTTCATATGTAGCTCCATTAGACAATGCAGACTTGGGGATTACAGCAACTATGGTAACTAAATAAAATAAAAACAACCACCAGCCTTCACAGGGAATTAAATCACAGAATCTTGGAGAAGGAAGGAACCTGAGATGTCACCTAGTCCAACCTCCTTCCTGGTGCAGGATTTTTTTGTTACAATCACTGACAGACATGTGCTCCTTCCCTCTTTAATCTGTTATTTATTTAGGCTAAGGAGCTCCCAAGAATTTCCCCCTTTCTTGTTTCCCATTTCAGCAGTAAATAATGGATTACATACAAATTCAGCTGGGATATTTCCACTGACAAAAAGCTTTGTGAGGACAGCTGTAATTGTTTTTCACTTGACCCCAAATCTGCTTCTTGGTCACCTCTACCCTTTGGTTGTCATTCTGTCCTCTAGAGCTACACAGAATAATCAATCTGCTCTCACTTCCACTTGGTCAGCCTCCAGATTTGGGAAGAGGGATACTGTGTGGCTTTTAAGTTTTCTCCAAGCTGACTCTAAACTCCCTCACATTTTCCTCATATAACATGATTTCTAGTCCTCTCCCCATTGTAGTATCTCTCCTCTGGATCTTCCTTATTCTGTCAGTCTCTTTGAAAGTGTGTTGTCCAGAACTGTACTCAAAGCTCCAGGTTTCTCCCATGCAGGAGGTAAGGTGATCACCTCCCTAGATTGTTGTTTGAATCAAATGAAATAATCTTTGTGAAGCACTTAGCACGGTGCCTGACACATAGTAGGTGCTTAATAAATGCTTATTCTCTTCCTCTCTTCTCTCCCTTGGCTTGGACTTTATGGGCCTGTTAATGCTGATTGTTTTAGCTTTTTGACCATTTTTTAAAATTTTTTTTTAGCAGCTAGCTTATTTTGAGCTCGTGGTCAACTAAAACTTTTAGACTTCCCGGATGAAATGCTATTAAGTCAAGTCTCCTATACTTAAGTGATTGATTTTTTTAAACCAAAATGCATGTCTGTGGTATGGTGGAAAGAACCCTGACCTGGCTTCTTGATGACATGCTTGGTTGGCCTCCACCGGTACCTTGTGCAGCCAGACATTTTTAACAGATACAATTTAGGATATGTGAGCTAAAGGATTTATTTTTAAAATGTTTCCACGCCATCTTCTTGAAATTATTTTCAAGTAACTTTTAATGTTTTTCTAATAGACACACTACCATTTTTTAAAAAGTGCCCTGTGTATCTCCTTATCATGTTATTTATTTAGGTTAAGGAACCCCTAGAAATTTTCTCTTTCTTGTCTCCCGTATCATCAGTAAAAATAATAATAGCTAGCATTTAGATATTGACTGGGGCATGACTTGGGAGAGCTGATTGTTAAAGTTTCAGGGTGAGTGTTTACACCATGGAAATCAGTTAATGCTACAAATCAGGGTTTGACTGATGATTTTGTTGATTGTCTGGACTTGAGAAAGTGTTGCAGAAACTGTTAATAATGCAAACTAAACTTAAAAGTATACTGTGGATAAATTTTTTCTAAAAGAGAGTCAGGTTTTAAAATTTTACCAGCAAAACCCTGTTTAGCAACACTTTAAGGTTTGCAAAGTATTTTACAAATATTATTTTATTTTGTCTTTACAATCATTCTGGTAGGTAGGTGCTATTACTATCCCTGTTTTACAGATGTGGAGATTAAGGCAGAGGGAGAGGGCAAATTAAATAAATAATTTTCCCAGGCTCAGCTAGAAAGGGTCCAAGGTTGAATTTGAACCCAGGTCTTCTTGACTCTAGGCCCAATGCTACATCTGCTGTACCACCTAGTACGTAAGTATATTATTTACCCCTCGGTGTGTCCTTCCTCACTATCACCCCTTCAATAATTTCCTGATAAGAATGGTTCAAGAGCCTAACAGCTCCAAGTTTCACATTTAGCCCTAGGGTAACAATCCACTGTCAGAGCTGGGTGCCTTGTCCTGCCAAGAAGTAAGAAGAGAACTTACCTGCTACTTCTCAGGCCAGGCTTTAGTGATTTGACCCAAACTGAAACCATTCTTCACCCAGTAATGTCTCAATCAGTGGTTTGCCAAATTCCAGTTTTTTGTTAATAGTATTTTATTTTTTCCAATTACATATAAAGATAGTTTTCAACATTCACTTTTATAAGATTCTGAGTTCCAAACTTTTTTCTCCCTCCCTCTCTCCCCTTACCCCTCCCCAAGAAGGCAAGCAATCTGATATAGGTTATATATGTACAATCATATTAAACATATTTCCACATTAGTCATGTTGTGAAACAAGAATCAGAACAAAAGGGAAAAACCAAGAGAAAGAAAAACAAAAACAACAAAAAAGGATGAAAATACTATGCTTTGATCTGCATTCAGACTCCATAGTTCTTTCTTTGGATGTGGATATATCATAAGGCTTTTAAAATTGTCTTGCTGAGAAGAGCCAAGTCTATCAAAGTTGATCATCACACATTATCGCTGTTATTGTGCACAATGTTCTCCTGGTTCTGCTCACTTCACTCAGCATCAGTTCATGTAAGTCTTCCAGATTTTTCTGAAATCTACCTGTTCATCATTTCTTATAGCACCATAGTGTTCCACTGCCCTGGCTTCTTGATGTACTTCATGTACCACAACTTATTCAGCCATTCCCCAATTGATGTGTATCCGCTCTATTTCCAATTCTTTGCTACCACAAAAAGAACCATTATAAATTTTTTTTTGTACATGTGGGTCCTTTTCCCTTTTTTATGATCTCTTTGGGATACAGACCTAGTAGTGGTATTGCTAGATCAAAGGGTTTACACAATTTTACAACTGTTTGGGCATAGTTCCAAATTGCTCTCCAGAATCGTTGGATCAGTTCATAATGCCACCAACAATGCATTAGTGTTCCAATTTTTCTATATCTTCTCCAACACCCATCATGTTCCTTTTCTGTCATATTGGCCAATCTGATAGGTGTGATGTGGTACCTTAGAGCACACTACTTAATCAATAATGATTTAGAGCATTTTTCATATAGATAGCTTTGATTTCTTCATCTGAAAACTTACTGTTCATATCCTTTGACCATTTATCAAATGGGGAATGACTTGTATTCTTATAAATTTAACTCAGTTCTCTATATGTTTTAGAAATGAGGCCTTTATCAGAAACACTGGCAGTAAAAATTGTTTCCCAGCTTTCTGCTTTCCTTCTAATCTTGGTTGCATTGGCTTTGTGCAAAAACTTTTTACAAATTCCAGGTCTTTTTTTTTAACTTGAAATACCAATTAGGTGCCTCTACTCCATACTTTTGAAGTCCTAATCTCTAAATTATTTAAAAAAATTAATTATCAACCTTTCCTAATCCCTTTAATCAAATATGGTCTCTCCCTTCTTTGAATCCTTATCGCATTTTGTTTGTGTTGCTCTTATGGCACTTAGCATATTCACCTTTGTTATTTCCTTCTAGCACCTAGAAAAGTACCTTACTCATGGCCCATGCCAGAAGCCTTAAAGGACATTTCTTAGCAACTAGCTGTGTGATTCTGAGTATGTTAGTTAAACTCTGTGAACATTAGATTCCTCATCTATAAAACAGAAATAATAACAGCATCTCTAACACATCTTGTTCTGGGAATCTAATGAGATAATGCATATAAAGAGCTTTTGCTGTTGATCATTCATTTCAGTTGTGTTCAACTCTTTGTGACCCCATTTAGGATACTAGAGTGCTTTACCTTTTTCTTCTTCAGCTTATTTTACAGATGAGGAAACTGGGGTAGAGAGGGTTAAGTGACTTGCCCAAGGTCACACAGCTAGCAAGTGTGTGAGGCCAGATTTGAACTCAGGAAGATGAGTCTTTCTGACTCCAGGTCTATCCATTGTGCCACCTAGCTGCCCTGTGAAGGGCTTTACAAACCTTAAATAAAAATTCGAGCTACTATTACTTTTATTATTGTTTTGGTGGTAGAGTGGGGATTTGATGGTTGATTGAATTGCTTTAAGCAGATAACAGAGGTGGGCAGGTATTGCTGCAAAGATGAAGTGTTAAGATTTGTCTACACCCATCATCCTTTTTTACTAAGTATGAAGACATTCTCTGATTGACTTGGAAGGACAGCTGATCACTGGTTGGGTGAAAATTGGTCATGTCTTGACAAAACAGGAAAATGATAAATGTTGGAGAAGATGTGGGAAAATTGGAACACTAATGCATTGCTGGTGGAGTTGTGAAATGATCCAGCCATTTTGGAGAACAATTTGGAACTATGCCCAAAGGGCTATAAAAATGTGCATACCCTTTGACCCAACAATACCACTTCTAGGGCTGTATACCAAAGAGATCATAAAAATAGAAAAGGGACCCACACGCACAAAAATATTTATAGCAGCTCTTTTTGTGGTAGCAAAGAATTGGAAATTGAGGGGACGCCCATCAATTGGGGAATGGCTGAACAAGTTGTGGTATATGAATGTGATGGAATACTATTGTGCTATAAGAAATGATGAACAGGCAGACGTCAGAAAAACCTGGAAAGACTTGTATGGACTGATGCTGAGTGAAGTAAACAGAACCAGGAGAACACTGTACACAGTAACAGCCACATTGTGCGATGACTAATGTTGATAGACTTAACCCTTCTCAGCAATAGAAGGATCTAAGACATCTCCAAAGGACTCATGATGGAAAATGCTATCCACATCCAAAGAAAGAACTATGGAGTTTGAATGCAGATCGAAGCATACTATTTGCTATTTTTTTTCTTCTGTTGTGTTTTGTTTCCTCTTTCTGGAGGTTCCTTCTATTGGTTCTAATTCTTACTTACAACATCACTAATGTGAAAATATGTTTAATAGGAATGTATATGTATAGCCTGTATCAGATTGCTCGCTGTCTTGGGGAGGGAGGTGGGGAGGGAGGGGTAGAAAAATTTAAAACACAAAAGCTTATGGAAGTGATTGTTGATAATTCAAAATAAATTAACTAAATTAAAAAAAATAAAATAACTACAGAAAAATTGCCTTTTAAAAAGCCAAGGTTGCCAAGCCATGGAGAGATGGATGGTTAGAGAGTTCAAGTCATTTGCTTCAGGACACAGCTTTGTAGAGTACGACCAGAGGTCAGGGTTCATACTTCACCTCCCCCCTCCATTGGCCATAGCATCTTGCAGTTGAGCTCCTCAACCAGTAGGAAATAGCAAGTCCAGTGGGGAGAAGTTCAGAGTGTCAAAGAGAAGGAACAGAGATGCACACACTTCAAAGAGAAACACAGACCAGACACTGAGGCAGCTTTGAGGGCAGGAAGCAATTTCATGGAGTGTGACCTCTGACAGCTGACAGGAAAGCTGATTATGTATTCAAAAAAGTGTCACTCCTCTCTGGCTTTTGCTGTGCCTGATTTCAGCTCCATGGAATGAGATATCTCCTCTAGGTTGAGCTCATCACTTCTAATCTCTTCACCATGCTGCCAACTCAAGCCTCAACTGACACCACCATGGAGGGCTGGAGGGTGCCATTCTAAACTCCTCCTGATGCCTCCCTTTGTAGAGGGCAAAACTGGACTGGCCTCCGCTCACTCCACTTTGCATCTGTTGCTGTTCCTCACTCCAACCCATGAAACAAGAGACTCCCTCCCACATTCCTGACTCTTCATGTGTACTGTCTCTCCTGCTCCTCGAAGAGAGGGATTGTCCTTTTTTAATTAATTGTATCCCACAACTTAGCACAGTGCCTGGCATGTAGTAGGCATTTAATAAATGTTTATTGAATTGGACTTATTGGATTCAAAAAAGAGCTGATCTTGGCAGTTGAGAGTCAAGCTGGGGAGAGGGGCAGACCCAGGGAGCCTAGGTGAATGACTCACCCAGAGCAGACACTCTGCCCAGCAGGCAGCAGCGTTAGGAGAAGAGCTAAGACACTGAGGTCTTACAGGTCTGGAGGTGTGAGCTGCCTTGGCCGTGTATGTGCCTCCCTGTGATGGATGATGTGTGTATTTGAGGTGAAGTATGTCCTAGGTTTATGGGGAAAATATTGTATGGCCACTCTTTTTACTATGGCATCTTAGTAAATGCTTTGAGTTAATTGTATCTGCTGGCTGACTAAGCACACCTTTGTGGCCCTGGGAATTTTTAAGTGCAAACCTGCCAGGTACTTTAGAGCCTAAGGGAGTAGTTACTACCCATGTACCCCTACCCCCCCCCAAATCTGTAAACCTGTGTGCTGAATTGACGGAGTAGATCTGATAGGGTGCTACATTATTATTTCGACTTATTTTGGATTTCTAGGTGGACCTTCATTTTATGAAGAAAATACCCATTGGGGCAGAAGCCTCAAATGTCTTGGTTGGAGAGGTGGATATCCTGGACCATCCGATTGTGGCCTTTGTAAGGCTGTCACCTGCTGTCCTCCTCTCAGGCCTCACAGAAGTGCCGATCCCCACAAGGTAGAGACAGAAATATATACAGTGAATTACATTAAAAAGTCTAGTGTCCTTGAGCCCTGGTAAAAGAACCAACTTAATACCAAGACTTAGGACCAGGGAATCTTGAGAATGGGCCTAAAGTGCCTCAGAGAGTTTACTAGAGGCCTGAGAAAACTACTTGATTAAGCACTGTGCTGATGAAGTCTAAATCTCTTTGTAGCACAGAAATAAACAATTAACTAGGTTCTACTATGCTGAAACTGTTTCAGGCACAGTCTTGGGAATAGACTTCCTGCTTTCTGAGTACCAGCCTAGTAAAGAGGTGATGAATTACTTTGAGACGGTAAATTATGTTCACGGCTTAGGATTCAGTTTGTTATAAAGTGTATTCAAATATCCAGAGCTGTGTTTATATCATTCTATGGAGTTTTGTAGTTTTAGCCTCTTCCCCCTATTTGTCTCATAAGAGCAATGAATGGGATTCAGATGGGATTACATCTGTACTGCATGTAAAAAGTGACCTTTTGGAAAGAAATCTCTTTTCCAAGGCAAAGATTTTTGTCTCCATGGAAAGGCCACATAATTATAGCCACATTATTAAATGTCAACAAAAGTAATGGTTTTAATGAGTATTGAAATATCCAGATGGGAGATAGAGGTTAAAGTAGCTGATATTGACACATTAGCAGTGTGTCTGCTGAAGGCGCATACTTAAAGTTTGGTAATAATGTTTGTCTTTTTAGGTTCATTGGAGAGCAATAAAATCTTGTACCTTGGTGCTTGGTAACAACCTTTTTCTCTCTCTGTTATCAGGTTCTTGTTTATCTTGCTAGGACCAGTAGGAAAAGGCCAACAGTATCATGAGATTGGCAGATCCATGGCCACCATCATGACAGATGAGGTATGAAGAAACTTGAGATGGTTTCTAATGTGTTTCTAATGTATCTTTTCTTCACTTTGATAGCATGCTCTCTTTCTCTTCCCTCTCTTATTTCTGCCTCCTCCCCTCACTCCCTCTCCATGGGAAAGAAATCAACATAAATAGGGAGAAGTCTTCCTAGGATGATTGCTGTGTTATGTGGGGTACCTAGATAAAGAAGACAGGTTGGGGTTGTTTGTCCCTCCCAGAAAGTGTGATTACATAACATTCTCTGTGGTTGTCAATTGCAGATCTACCTGGAGCGGGGAGATGCATTATCCCTTTCCTCTCCACCCCTTTCCCAACCACTTTTTTTTTTGTCTAAAACTACACTTGTCCATATGCTAATAAAAGCCAACAACTTGGTAGATATTCCTCCTTCCCTCCTAGCACTCATGCTTCGAATGTGTGAACTCTTCCCACCGAGGCATGGCTAGGCAGAATTCACACAGATGTTGGACTTTGCATAAGTTTAGCAGGCTCTAAATTTGGGGCATGGTGGAGGAGAGAGCAGTATGAGTGTGAATGAGCAGAATAGAAGACCTTGTATCCACATACAAAGTGAAGCAGCTTTTGAATGTAAGGATGTAACTGTGAGAAACAACATGACATTTGCCTCAAAGTGGCAATATGATGACATGGGTTTGCTGAAGCTGCCTGGCTGCTGAAATAGTGCCTCCTAGCACACAGCTCTTGAAAAAGATGGCACAAATGTGTTGGGGTTCTGCTTTATCAACTCTTTTTAAAAAACCCAACATATAGATATCAAAGATAGACCTTGAACTTCATTTTTCAAGTCATTCTGAAGTGCAATCCTACCATTATATTCAGGAAGTTTTTCCTTATGTCTCATTTAAATCCTTTTGTTTGGTCCCCAGTAGAGATAGAGAACAGTTGTATAGCCTTTCATCCACTTAAAGACCATTAATAAAGTTCCCTTGGACCCAGTCCATTTTCACCATAAAAAATTATGATTCGTTTGGGTTCTCCTCCATCCTACATACTCTTACTGCTCTCTCTGAGTTATCTGCATTTCAGGGTTTTATTACTAAGATTAAAATCAAGAAGCTGTAGTCTTCCTGACGTCCGTTGATAATTATTTTCCTTCAGGAAGATTTCCTGCAGTCTTCCTAAGAGTCATCTCTTCTCCATAGATTTTTCATGATGTGGCCTATAAGGCAAAAGAGCGTGATGACCTTTTAGCTGGTATTGATGAGTTCCTGGACCAAGTGACTGTGCTCCCCCCAGGTGAATGGGATCCATCGATTAGAATTGAACCACCAAAAAATGTCCCTTCCCAGGTAATGTGCCTCCATCGGTCCACATCATTTATTGGGTGTAAAACATTACATATGGTATTTTGGAGGAATAAATAATAAAAGATACAGCTTCTGCTTTGGGCGAATTCATAACCTAATTAAGGAGACAGAACATGCAAATGTGAAAAAGACAGAAACACCTACAGAAAAATCATACAGTAGGAATAAATGAACCAGTATAGTACCAGTATAACTTCTGAGAAAATACTGATTAGTAGAGTGATCTCAAATGGGTAGGGTTATTCGGGAGGGCTTCCAGGGGAGGGTGAATTTTGAGTCAGATTTTTGAAGAGGAAGAGAGGGATGTGCAATAACCCAGAGGGAGTGAGAGAAATAGGTATTGTGATTGAGAATAGCACATGCAGAGAGAGGCCACAGAACAAGATGAATAGAGACAGCAAACATATTTGGCTCATAATTCTAATGTGGGAGGGAGGACACACAACCACTACAGAAGACTCTACATAAAATAGCCTGTGGTTAGATTGACATCTATCTCTGTTTCATTACTCTGATTCCCCAGTTACATGCCTTTTATTTCTGTGTACCTAGTATTCCTTGTCCCTCCCCACTCATTTCCTTTTCCCTCCTTTTCTGTGATACTCAAAGAAAATAAGAAAAGAAAAACATGTCTAAATATAACTCACTATTCAGGTCCAGAATTAGTCTAGGTCAAGGGTTCTTTATTTTGTATCATAGATTCCTTTGGAGTCTGGGAATGCCTATGGCCTCTCCTCAGAATAATGTTTTTAAATTCACAAAATAAAATGCATAGGATTACAAGAGAAACCATTTATATTGAAATAAGGATATATTTCCCCCCATCCAATTTGCACACTCATGCATCCTATGATGCAAAAATGCAAAGTCACTGCAGTAGGTGGCCAGGTTTCTGGAGGTCTTTTGCCAAAAATAATATGGGAAAGATCAAGGATAATCCCCCCATCCAAATTCACAAAACCCCTGAAAACTATTCCAGATTAATAACCCCTGATTAAAGAAATGACATGGAATATTACTCTAAATATTAACACAAGAAATCTACAATCTGTATAATAAACCAACCAAGTATTTATAAACACCTGCTATGGGTCAGGGAGTGTGTTAGACCCTGGGGATAAAATGGCAAAAAAGGACAACTCCCTGCCCTCTAGGAGTGTATAATCTTACACATGACTGCATAGATTCTCTTTCTATATACATTTTATTATAAGTACATAAGTGTTTAAAATTATTTTAAAAAACCAAAGTAATTTATGGTGGGAGTGGGGGAAGGCATTAGCAGATGGAGGAATCAGGAAAGGTTTCATGAAAGATGGTGTGTGAGGTAAACTTTGTGGAAAAACCCAAAAACTAGAGCTTCTGGGTGGCAGAGGTGAGGAGAGAGTGCATTCCAGGCTGCCTCTATGCAGTTTCCTGTCTCTGTTTTTCTCTTTAATAATGTATTCAGAATTCACCTTGGAAGTCTTGGAAGTCTTCCCAGATTGAGTACATCCAACTCGGATAATAAACTGTGTGACTCAGGGCAAGTCAGTTAACCTCTCTCAATCTGTTTCCTAATCTGTAAAATGAGGATAATAGTACCTACCTCACGGAGTTTTTGTAAGGATTAAACAAGATATATACATATATATTTCTCTGTGTGTCTACATGCATATACATATATGTAGGTATAACCTAAAAGCACTGTATAAATGCTAGCTAATGGTAGTGGCAGTGGTGGTGGTAGTGGTAGTAGTAGTGGTAGTGGTAATAGTAGTAGTTGTCGTCTTTGTCATCGTCATTGTCCTCTACTAATCTGCATTCCCTCATCTGAATTTCAAAGGAAACTAAGTCTCTAGGAGGCAGAGATGAGGAGGGACTCCATTCCAGGCTTGGGGGACAACCAATACAAAGGCATGGAAAAGGAAGGTCACGTGTCATGTGTGAGCGATAGCAAGATGGGCAGATGCCAGGGTATAAGGAGGGGACTAATGGGAAATAGCTGGAAAGGCAGGATCCTGCGACTCTGAGGAGCTTTGTTTACTTGTCAAACAGAAGAGTTGATATTTGATCCTAGATGTGATGGGGAAATAGGAGAGATTGTTGAGTATGGGAGAGCAGTAATATGGTCAGATCCATTCTTTAGAAAAATCCCTTTAGCTGCTGACTAGGGGATCGATTGGTATGAGGAGAGGCTGGAGGCAGGGAGACCTATTAGGAAGCCATTGCTGAAATCTGGTGAGGGTTGATGAGGGTCTGAACTAATAGGGTGATGGTATATGAGGGGAGGAAAGGAGAGGTACACGAAAGATGTTGCAGAGGTAGATTTGTCAGCTGAGTACATGTGTGAGATAGGTAAGAGTGAGGAGTCAAGAATGACTCAAAAATTGCATACTTTGGTCACTGGAAGGTTAGTGGTATTATCAATAGAAATAGAGAAATTCAAAGCAGGGATGGGTTTTTTGGAGGGGAGTGTATGGTGGGGCAAATGAATTATGTTTTGGACATATTAAATTTGAGATGCCTACAGGACATCTAGTTCAAAATGTCCAAAAGGGAGGCAGCTAGGTGGCACGGTGGATAGAGCACCGGCCCTGGAGTCAGGAGGACCTGAGTTCAAATCTGGCCTCACAAACTTGACACTTACTAGCTGTGTGACCCTGGGCAAGTCACTTAACCCCATTGCCTAGCCAAAAAAAATAAGGCAAAATGTCTGAGAACACAAGTAACTGCAATGTGGCTGTACCCCAAAGAGGTCATTAGTGGCTCCTAGTGAGGAGGTCATGAGTATGCACAGGTTTTTCCTTGTGCAAGTCCTAATATCATTTCTAGTTGTGCTGTTCTCCAGTGTGTGCTTGGCTCTTTAAGGACCTCTCTGACAAGGGAGTGGGAGGGTGGGTGGGTGGGTGGGGTAGTGGGGAAGGCTGGTTCTTCAACCAACTTTTTTTTTTATAGTCCAAGCACAAAAGGATTGGCTCTGGCTCACAATAGTTTATTTCCAATCAATCTGTAACAGCCCAAGCTAATCAGTTCACCCCCAGTCATGATAGTGCAGAGTATAGACATTTTTGGGCATATCCCAGTAGGTTCCCTCCCAGTTCTCTCAAAAAGTTGTCAGTGGGCATATATATGACCTACGGGGAAGAGTGAGTGGAAGTCCAAAGAAAAGGCTCACTACTCTATAAACTCTTTGAGTTCTTCAGGGAACTCCTCTAATAAAGCTCTTACATGTAGATTACTCTTTTATAATTCGTTTTTATTAATATTTTTAATCTGAGATTAGCCTTTTCCTCCCACCTAGTACAGAACATTCCTCTTCCCACCCTCTTCTGCTCTCACTGTCCAAGACAGTACAAATTCAGGGAATACCAAATCCTTTTTATATCCTTTTGAGTAAAAAAAAATAACCAGCAAGGTAAATCAGTTATGGAACCCTGCCCAAGAAAGAAATTTTAGATTCTCTGATATTTCTTAAGTTAGTCCCATCATTTCCTCCTCCATTAGCATGGATAATCAAGAATTGACTTTATTAGTAAAAGTAATTCATGATATTTTGTAATTAGGAAAAAAGGAAGATGCCTGGGGTTCCAAATGGAAATATTTGCCATGTCGAACCAGAGCAACATGGTGGCCATAGTGGTCCTGAACTTCAACGTACAGGGAGGTGAGTTCTGAGAAGTCTCCTCTTTGTTATTACTCACAAGTGCAGAAGCTCTTAAAAAAAAAGGAAAAAACGTTTCTTTTCTTTTAATATTTTCTGTGATGGTGTCTTCATAGGCTTGAAATGACTTTTGAAGGGGAACCAGAGTCTCAGAGTGTTATGAACACATCAATAATGTTATTTTGGGTTGTTATGACCCATGTTGAACCTAGGCATAAATGAACCCATATGGCAGAATTAGGTTTCTGAGTCCTGCCTTTTTTCCTTTTGTGAGTCTCAAGAGTCATATTTGTATGTTATAGTATATTTGTTATGCTTCAAAGGCTTAATATGACGAGGAACAGAGAGTAGTTGCAAAAATGGACAATACTGAAGACCTTTTGGTCTGGACACAGGAGTGAAGAGTGTCTATGTGTAGGCACTGAGAAAGCTACCAAAGAAATATAAAACATGGAATTACAAAATATATCATCTTAAAATCTCAGAGCTGGAGGAGGCCATAAGGAACTTCCTAGGCCACCATCCTTCTTGTGTGTAGGCAGGATGGTAGTCAAACAGTTCCAGGGAGGAATTTTTTCTTCATAATGGCCAGAAATACTCTTCAAATCTCTTTTGCTAACATTCTTTTGATTAATTACTCTTCAAACCTGAAACTTCTGTCTAGCTTCATTCTCTCCTCTGATAGAAACTCTTCTTCTTCTTCTGTTCTCAGAAAAAATAAAAAAGTACTACTTTATGTTATGCCTTCAGGCTGCAAAAAGAATCATTCTCCCTACTAGCTTTTTAAATCCTTGAAAAGCTATTTGGTTTATCTTTGTATCTGCCTCAGTACCTCGCACAATGTATGTAGACACTTAATCAATACTGATGAAATTGAAGAAAAGGGAAATTTACCTCCTTACATATTTCAGATAAGTGATAGCAAATTATACTATTTCATCTTCACCAGCATCCTTGCCTAATTTGAAAGGATTGAGATGGTGTTAGCTATGAATTGAACATGCTGAGTTTATTATTCCCATTTGAGTTGTCTATAAAAGACATGTCCTGTGTTTTGGAAGGGCACAATATTAAATAATTCCCACCCCTTCTTTTGTTGTATTGGAGAGAGGGCATCTAGGAGATGATCTCTCCAATGGGAACTATGCATTTCTAGTTCAAGACTGAGCCTTAGCAGGAGGAGGAAAAGAGACAGGGAAGGGAGAATGGCCATACATGGCTAATGAGCTTCTCCAGAGAAGAAAATTAGGACTGTCCCAGGAAACAGCATATCTCTTTTGTGTTATAGTAGAAAGAACAATGGATTCAGTCAGAAGACTTGGGTTCAAATCCCAGCTCTGCTACTTGAATCACTTTGGGCAAGTCATATCAGAAAACTCTTGGGGTCTCAATTTAGTCATATGTAATCTGGGTCAAGGTGGGCAGTCTAGGGTTGATCTAGATTATCTTTAAGGTCTCATCTAGCTCTGCATTCTGTAATGTATGAGAAGACAACATGGTATGGTGGAAGTGTGTCAACTTGGGAGGCAGAGGGCCTGGGCTCAAACCCCACCATTGGTGGTTATCATCGGTGTGACTTTGGGCAAGTCACTTAACTTCCCTAGGCCTTATTTTACTCATAGGCAAAATGAGGAGGGTGGGCTAGTTGTAGTCCCTTCCCGCTCTAGAGGCACTTCTGATGTCCTCCATTGTTAGTAAGGGAGGTGCCTCCTGGGCTGAGTGAGAGTAGACTTGGAGAAGTCCTGGAATCAGGAAGATGTTTTTCCCTTGAGTAGGAAGGCAGTGAGAAAATATGGTATCACTGGGAGGTGTGGCAATCAGTAGTATCCCTGCCCTAGCCTCCCCAAAGAGGCACGTCTGCCCCAGAGTGTGAGTGCCGTGGATGGAGGAGGAGCTGTAACATTAGCCGGTCAAACAGACCCTTGCCTCAGGGCACTGAGACTTAGTGAAAAAGTTTAAATAATGATTTTAAAAGACCATGAAATTTAATGATTTGTTACATTTAGATTTTGACAGTCAGTCTTCTGTCAGCATAGAAACTAGTTAGCAAGAATGATTAGTTAGACTAGGAAGCTGCTTGAGGGCATGCCTCCTCTCCCTGCTAATTTCTGTACCAGGTGAACTTTTTTTTCGGCAGCAATTTTGTGATGTCCTAGGGTCTTTTTCTCCCTATATGGGGTGGGGTCTCAGGATTTTTCCCACAAGTCAGTAGTGTTCAGGTTTTCCTCCTGTCACTTGTTCAGTTGGGACCCATTTAATGCTATTTGACCCAGAAGCTGAATGTACTAGTTCTAGCTCCAGGCTAGAATCCCATTCAAGGAGATTGGCCTTGGTGGGGAGTTTCTGAATAGGGGCCACAATTTAAGTGGAAATTTTTACCAAAAATCCCTGACTTTCATCTTATTTTCCCCTTCCTATCTCTGATCTACTAACTCTTTGCACCATTAGTACAAGCTTGTCATTTCTTTTCATACATGTTCCTTTCTTTGAAATGCATGGAAACTCAGTGGAATGCCAGGAGAGGAGACAAAGAGGCAGGCAGGAGTATGCAGTTAACAGGTAGTGTCCCTGTTTAGGTGCATTAAGTACTTTGGTTGGAGGGCAGGTCTTTGAGGGTGGGAGTAGGATAAGCTCTCTGGGAAAGGAGTCCCTGGGAAAAGGAGAAATCTGTGAAATAGTTGTCACTAAAAAGGGTGGATGGGAAATCTCTGAGACATGATCTTTTCTTAAGTTGAGAAGTCATTTGACTTGATTGGAGTCTCTTGGCTCTTGGGAAGGATCCATTCTAAGACTTGTGGTCCTGGATTGATCATATTATTGGTTGATGTGTTAGGGTGTAGTACCGGGTTTGGGGCTTCTGTTCTGAAATTGTGGGCTATCCATATGCCAAGTATTGGATTTAGGAAGAATATGATATGTGCCAATGTCAAATAGTTATTGGATTGGTTTAGAAACAAAAAAGAAAGGGTTAATCAGTGATCTTCCTCCAGAGGTGCCATTTGGTACCAGAAAAAGAAAATGGCAGAGGCATGGCCCACCAATCTCTATTTACTCATGAATTATCAACTTCCTCTGAGAATTTTGGGGACCAGTGGATTGGATACCAATGGTAGAGTGAAGCTAGGAATTCAGAAATAAGATTGAAAGTGAAAAACGTAACTGCACACCAAACCCCATGTTGACATGGACATTAGATCAAATGTATTTTAGGGGAATTCTCCCAGGCCGTCAATATTGGATAATTCTGGCACTGAAAGAAAAGATTATCCCTGATCTTTCCCATATTACTTGTAGCAAAAGACCTCCAGAAACTTGACCATCTACTGCACTGACTTTGCATTTTTGCATCATAGGATGCATGAGTGTGCAAATTTAATGCCATTTTTACCAACTTTAGAAAGCATGGACACTTAATGTTAAGATGCCCCACAGAGGGGTTGGTAGGAAATGAATGGAGCCCTTGTACCTCACTGAGATAGGTGATGATCTAAGCCTAGGACTTCCCACTTCTCGTCATGGTGCCCTTAGCCTACAGACACCTTTTTCTGGAGGAAGAAGACCCACTACCAACGCCTTATGTTGCTCCACTTCATTATATGACTTGGGGACAAAATGGAATATTAAGAATGGAGTTGGAATTTGAAAACCACAGCCAACTCCTTGAGTTAGACCATAACTCTGTCGACATCTTAGTGGACCAGGGGAGACAGAGGTCTGGTGGGATATATCTGTTCCCTTAAAGAACAGACGAGAAGACATGGGAGAGAGACTGGCAAGTGAGGATCACAGATCACTTTGCCACAGACCAGGGAGGGCTCTTTTAGAGGGCTGCCCTGGGCAGATTCATGTCTTGTGTTGGAGACACCAGTTCTGGAAAAGAAATCGAACACTAGGGGCTTTCTAGAAAACAGTCCTTCCCTCAGACAGGCCTCATCCAAACCAGTCTATGTGTTTGGGCAACTACCATGGAAGGAGTTCCCCTCCTGTGGGCTTCAGTACCTAATGACTCTTTGTGCTGTGAGCGTTCTCCTTGGTATCTAGTGAGGGGTTTCATGCCAGGAGCCAAGGGCTATTCCTAGACAGGAGCAGAGCTAGAACAACTTACACCAGATGTCTCCCTCTCTCCCCCCAACATTTTTATACAAGTGAAATCATGTTCCAGTGAACATCAGAGGCACCTTCAAACAGGAAGGGCAGCAATAGCAGTGGGGTGGTGCAGCCATAGAAGGCCCTTTAGTCCGAGGGCCGGGAGACAGGAACTGAAAACCCCGTCCTGTCCAGTTTCCTTGTAAAATGGGAAGACTGATGCTTTCGCTACCTATTTGGAGTGGGGTGTTGTGATGACCAGAAGATGCTAGAATCTGGGTTCACCTCTAAGTGCCATCTGAGCGTGACCTCGACACACTTGGGAGTGTTGGTTTTGTCACATCAAGTATATGGACCTCAGATCTTAAAAATTCGTTTATTAGCATCAGTTAGCTGGGCTCCTGCATGCTTCCTGGAGTCATTGCTCATCAGCTAGTCACTGAGGCACTGTGAGACTGTCAAAGGTGGCGGGGCAACAGGGCAGCTCAAGAGTTAATTGTTAAATTTTGCACCATGGAAATCAGCAAATATTGTAAATCAGGGTTTGAGTGATTGTTTGGTTGATTGTCTAGATTTGGTTGATTAAGTCTAGACTTAAGAAAATGATGGGGAAAACATTAATGGTATAGATTAAATTTAAAAGCTTGTCTTGGTTCTTCTGAGAGCTAGTTGTTAAACATTTACCAGCATACACATTATGGAGCAGTTATGGTTCATATAAATGTTTTGTCTAAAGCAGTGGATTATTTTGAGAGACTTTTTCTGGGATGGTGCCCTTTAGTCCATGACTGTTCAAGGGCAGGGAAGACTTTTTGTGGTATAGAGCAGTTGTCCTGAAGTATCAAGTGTGAAGGGTGGGGAAAGGGAAGGGAATTAGCATTTATTAAGTGCTTAGTATGTGCCAAGCACTTCACAATGTTATCTCATTTACCCTGTGAGGTAGGTATTGTTATTTTTCCCATTTTATAGATGAGGAAACTGAGGCAAATGGGTTTAGTGACTTGTCCAAGGTCACACAGCTAGTGTTTGATGCCAGATTTGAACTCAGGTCTTCCTGACTTCAGGTCCACTGCATCACAAGTTGTGGCAAAGGCAAGTAACTGTCTGACTTCTTATCTCTGGAGTCTAAATTGGTTACTCAACATGGGAACAGGCCATGGCCTAAATGAGGTTGTTCTTAGCTGAAGGTAAAGGAGAGGAATGGGCCTGATGTGGGCCTGTGGCTCAGAGCTTTCCCCATTCCAGAAGCCTGTCTGGGAATGAGACCACCTGAACAGCAGTCTGGGGGCAGGGAGACAGTGAAGCCCTGAGGCTTCCATTTGGACGTGTGGAACACTGCTGGTCCTTTAGGGCTGGTGTAGTCTCTTTATCACCCCTTGTTTTTGTCCCTCTGCCATTTTCTGCCATACCTTTACAGCCTTTCAGGTTCTTATTACAGCTCAGTTATTATTACATAAGCTTTGTTTTTCCTTTTGCACAGGCTCAATCTTTAGGGATTAGGTGGTGCGCGTGGGCACACACACATACACGTGCACGCGCGCGCGCACACACACACACACACACACACTTTGGAATTGTGAGGCACAGTTTAAATTTTGCATTTGGAAGCTGATGCTTGCTTTGCTATAGATTGCTAATCAGTCTCAGGATAGCCATTAAACATGCTGCTGGTAGAACATGTGATGACCCAGAAGCAACATCTTGCTTTGGGAACCAAAAATGCCAAGATGGTGACTTAACTCTTAGGACATTAGAAGTAATTTGAGATTTGTGCTACTCAAGTATCGTCTTCCTGGGAGGCTGAACAAGAGGATCGTTGGTTTGTCTGAGGAGGCTGTCTCCTCTGTTTCTGCAGGCTTTTTGGAGGTTTGGTGCTGGATATAAAGCGGAAGGCCCCCTGGTACTGGAGTGACTATCGAGATGCCCTGAGTTTACAGTGTCTGGCCTCTTTTCTGTTCCTGTATTGTGCCTGCATGTCACCCGTGATCACCTTTGGGGGATTGCTTGGAGAAGCAACTGAGGGACGAATAGTAAGACCTTTTATCAACCATAATGACCATGATAATGATAAAGAATGTGATGGTGGCAGCCAGCCTTGAGATACGGGATTAGGGGATGTGGGTTCTTGCCCTAGCTTTGCCAGTTAATCACTTGGCCAAGTCACTGGATTTCTGGATTTCATTTTCCTCTGTATGACAGGGAGAACAATCTCAGCCCTTCCAGCAATGACAGGAGGTTAAAAAAGATGATCAATATGAAAGTGATCTGCTGCTAGTAGAGACGTAGAAATACAAGGGATTGTAGTCATCTTTTCCTCTTTTGGTTTCAGTTATCCACAACAAATTTTTAGTTCCTAGTTGATTTCTGACTCTTCTGGGAGGTTTGTTAGCTTAACCAAACATAATTAAAAAGGGAAAGTTCTTGTCAGAACAGAAGTCCCATGGAAAATGCCCATTCTTTGTTCCAATGACAAATCAAAGTAATTTGGAAATCATCTGCTGCTTTGTATCTTATATGCCTTGGGGCAGCTAGATGATACAGAGAACTGAGTGCTGGGCCTGGGAAGACTCCTGTTCCCGAGTTCAAATCTGGCCTCAGACACTTACTCTGTGACCCTGGGCAAGTCACTTGACCTTGTCTGCCTCAGTTTCCTCATCTGTAAAATGAGCTGGAGAAGGAAATGGCAAACTACTCCAGTATCTTTGCCAAGAAAACCCCAAATGGGATCCTAAAGAGTCAGACACAAATGAAAACGACTTAACAACATCTTACCTACCACTGCTACCCTCTATTCATATACATGTGATAAAGTTGATTGTATTGGTATTATTAACCCTAGTTAACATTTATATAATTTATTTAGAACTGATATTTATCTTTAGCAATTACTTCCATTTTTTTTTGCTAGAGTGGTGGGCTCATTGAAATGCCACAGTGTCCCAACTTAACTTAACAAACAACAATACTTCCTAGTGTGGAAGTGAATATTATGTTCTTTAATAACAGTCTCAAAAGATATTTGTATACTTTGATTGCATGATGCCTCAAGAAGACTCCTGGGAGAAGCTTTGTCACCTTACACTAGAGTTTCAGGTGACTGACTCAGCCTGACAGCCGTATAGCATGGACAATAGTATTATGTTCACATTTTTTTAAAAAAGAGAATTGAATTAAGCCATTGCTCAAGCAAGGACAGAGAGATGGATGAACTTGGGCACCTTAATTATTAAAGGGAGAGCATTTTATGCAGGGAAGTATTAGATAGTCTGGACACATTACTTTTGGTAAGATGAAATGCAAGCAAATGACTGTTAAGACACATAGAAAGTCTATGTGAGTAGAGTAGATAGAATAATGTTGCCATGTATTGATCTGATATGGAATCAGTGATGAATTTTGTTCCTTGCAGAGTGCAATCGAATCTTTATTCGGAGCCTCGATGACTGGGATAGCCTATTCCCTGTTTGCCGGGCAGGCTCTCACTATCCTGGGGAGCACTGGGCCGGTGCTCGTGTTTGAGAAGATTTTGTTCAAGTTCTGCAAGTAAGACCTTCCTTTTTCAGAAAACCTTAAGTTGTGTGGTTTAGTGACCAGGCCAAATTCCAGGACCTTGGGTGAAAAAAGATGAGAAAGTGAAGGACAGCACTGGTAAATTCAAATTTGAGTAGTAGTCCTGGGCCCTGTGACCCAGTGAAGGATGTCCCTTAGTGCACCAGCTTGCTGTTGGATAGCTCTAAGCAGGAGATGCCCATTAGACAGCTATCCTGTCTTCTGAAAGAGCCCTGCAACTTTTCTCCGTGATTGTTCCACTGAACGGAGAGTCAGAGAGTCCCAGCTTTGTACCACGAGCCCTGTAACCACTGCCAAGTCACCAGACTTCTCTGTGGCTTGGGAAATTGGACTCAGAAAAAGGAAGACGCAAGTTCCAATCCTAACTCAGATACTTATTGGCTATCTGACCTTAAGCAAGTTACTTAATCTTTTTGAGCCTCAGTTTCCTCATCTGTAAAATGTGGATATGAATAGCATGATGCATGTAAAATACTACAGAAACCTTAAAGCACTCTTAAGTGTGAGACAGTAATAGGAATGGTAGTGCCGGCATCTACCTCTTTCACTAGATGTTTATAAAGATCAGTTAGGATAATTTAGGTAAATTATTTTACAAACCTACAAGTGCGACGTATAAGGCAGCTATTTTAATAGTCAAGAAATTCTCCCTATGTCAAACCTGAATCCCTTTAGTTATAACTTTACTCACATGTACCTTTACTGAGCTCTGACAGAAAACTTGTTAAGGTCATTCTTCCTGTCTTCTCTCACCCTGTGCACGCTTTAATTTATGTATATCAGAGATGGGAAAGCAGAGTCCCTCTGCCTCCCTCTGAAGAGTGGGCCCAGGGCTAGCTGCTTCCTTATCCATGCCAGGTTCGTGAGAGATCACCATCTAATGAAGTGGGTGGGAGAGGCCATGTGGTGAAGTGGATACACAGTTGTTCTCAGGGTCGGGAAGAGCAAGGTTTGAGTCCTGTCTCTGCAGCGTGAGCTGTGAGCAACGTGGGCAAATCATTTCAGTCTCAGTGCTCTACTGCACAACTCTCTCAGACTCAGAATTGCAAAGGAGTAGCTGCTCTGTATCAATAGAGGGAGTTTTCTTACTAGGTGCTGACTATATCAATGAAATTCTGGTTGGGATCAAACAAAAATATAGAATGAGAAGTACCGTTCTCTTCCCTCCATCAGTTCATGTACCACCCCAACCTAATCTTTGTGAGTAAAGTAGAAGGTATGAAGTAAGCCAGGGCTGGATTTCTGAGCCCTTAGCCCTTCTGTCCCTTAATTCGATGCATGGATTGGTGCTCTTGATTTATTTTGGCTTTGTTTCAGAGACTACGCTCTCTCTTACCTGTCCCTTCGAGCCTGCATTGGACTGTGGACTGCTTTCCTATGTATTGTCCTTGTGGCAACTGATGCCAGTTCTCTCGTCTGCTATATTACCCGCTTTACTGAAGAAGCGTTTGCCTCATTGATTTGTATCATTTTCATCTACGAAGCAATAGAGAAATTGATTCACCTGGGGGAAACCTACCCCATCCACATGCACAGCCAACTGGATCACCTTAGCCTTTACTAGTAAGTGTGAGCTTTTTCTTATCGCACAAGAAGCGTTTTGGTCTGGAGCCTGGCTGCTCCATGGTATGGCCTCTGTAAAGTAAGGTTATGTGTTTCTAGAGCCCTATTGGGAACCAGAGTTGTAGATGCAGAAACCTTGGGGAGCAACCCCAGCAGTTAAGAAGTTAAGAGCCTGAATCTGGGTGGAAAAGCTGGAGAAACCAAAAAGAGTTCTGTTGTCATAGAAGGCCCTGTTTTCATTCTAGTTGTGGCACTAATTCCTTGTGTGGACCACGGGCAAGTCCCTTCACATCATCTGTGAAATGAGGTGGCCTAGGGGATCTTTAAGATTCCTTTTAGCTCCAAGATTCTTTGAATTTGAGAAGCCTAAACAAATGAGGGATAGGGGTGATTTCATCAGTCTTTGAATATATACAGTAATATGGAGAACATCTATCCTCTGTTTCTCTTGAGGATAAGATGAACAAGAAAATTCTGATATTGCATTAATAGGGATTTAAGTTGAGTATTGTGGGGAAAAAAAAACTTCCTTAGTATAAGGATTTTTGAAATAATGGAGATAGTGAGATCCCTCTTTTTTTTTTCTTGGAAAGAATATTCAACTATCTTTATTTTTTAAAATTTTTATTTTTTGGCAAGTAGGGTTAAGTGACTTGCCTAGGGTCACACAGTTAGTAAGTGTCGAGTGTTTGATCTGAGGCCAGATTTGAACTCAGGTCCATCCTGACTTCAGGACCGGTGCTCTATCCACTGCGCCACCTAGCTGCCCCTCAACTATCATTCTTAAAGGATCCTTTCATACCTAGGATTCTATAATTTTAGACCAGAAAGGTCTGGGAACCCAGATTGCTTACTAGACTGCAACTCAAAATACTGTTGCTTCTGTCACAGCTTCTTGGCTGATATGACTATTTCAAGAAACTCTCATTAGTGTTATGGGTAGTCCATGAGACTTTTTATTGCTGTCTTTAGAAACTTCTGATTTTTCAACCATCATACTCTCTGGAGTCAGGTTCTTGAAATAATAACCAGGGAGCTTTTGGACATCTGGAAAAAATGTCCAAGTTGTTTTGCTCAAGCTCCTTCTTGATCCTTCCTTAGTTCTGCATATCTCAAGGAACTTTAGTGATTCTCCAGTGTAACTTCTTGGACTGTGCACCTCATTAATGACATCACTGACAGATGCCCTTCCTTCTCTTCTTGTTATATTGTTCTGATGTGGATGATCTGGATTGATGAAAGGAGGTAAGAGACACAGAAGTAGGAAGAGAAAATACAGAATTGTTAACCCTCAGAGGAGCGGTTAGCCTCACAGTGCCTGAGACTAACGGGTACGAGCTTATGAAATCATACCCACACATTCTTGTGTACTTCCGAGTTGTTCTGTTGTCTGAGTGTGAATCTTGGGCAGCAAACATAATGCAATTGGGGCCTCTCATAGCACCTGCCAAAGTGATACATAGGATCTTGGAGTTAAAATGTGCCTTTGGGGACTTGGAATCCAATAACCATTGGATGAAATATTCCACATCCAGATACTATTCAACCATGTCATTCAATCATCGGTGCTGGGGAAATCAGTATTTTTTTAAGAGAGCCCATACCATTGTTGAACAGTCTTATTATTAGAAAGTTCTTCCTTATGTTGAGCCAAAAGGTAAATCCCTATTATTTCTAATCATTAGTGCTGATTACTCCTTCTGGAGCTGCACAAAACAAATCTATTATCTCTTTAGACTACAGCACATTAGACTTTTTGAAGGCCACTATCATGTCTTTCTCAAATCTTTTTTTTTTTAGGTTAAATATCCTCAGCCCCTAAACCATTCCTCATTATTAAATTCAATTCAATAAATATTTGTGTCAATCAATAAAAATTAAATGCCTCCTATGTTCCAGGCACTGTGATAAGTACTGGGCATAAAAGAAAGGCAAAAGACAATCCCTGCCCTCAAGAAGCTTAGAATCTAATGGAGGAGGCAATATGCAAACAAATGTATACAAAGCAAGTCATATAGAGGATAAATAGAAAATAATTAAGAGGAAATGTACTGAAATTAAGAGAGATTAGGGAAGGCTTCCTATAGAAGGTGGGATTTTAGTTGGAACTTAAAGGAATCCTGGGAAGTCAGTAGTCGGAGTGAAGGAGGTGGAGCGTTCCAGGCATGGAGGACAACCAAAGAAAATGCCTAGATCTGAAAGATGGAGCGTTTTGTTTGTAGAACAGCCAGGAAGCCAGTGTCAGTGGATCAAAGAGTACATGTTGGGGAGTAAGGTGTCAGAAGCCTGGAAAGGTAAGAGGGAGCTAGGTTATGAAGGGCTCTGAATGCCGAACAGAGAATTTTACACTTGATCCTGGGAGCGATAAGAAGCCACTGGAGTTTGTTGAGTGAGGGGGATGTGACATTGATCAGACCTACACTTTAGGAAAATGTTTTTAGTGGTTGAATTAGGATGGATTAGAGTTGGGAAAGATTTGTGGCAGGCAGGCCCTCCAGTAGGCTATTACAATAGCCCAGGTATGAGGTGATGAGGAGCTGCATGAGAGTGGTGGCTGTGTCAGAGGAGAGATGGGTTTGTAAAGGTAAAATCAACAGTACTTGGCAAAAGCTTAGGTATGGAGAGTAAGAGATAGTAAGAAATCTAGGATGACTCCTAGGGTTGGAGCCTGAGGGATGGGAGGATGGTGTTGCCCTTTATAGGGAAGGTGAGGGGTTAGGGTGGGGAGGGTTTAGGATATACTGAGTTTAAGATGTCTACTAGACATCCAGTTTGAGATGTCTGAAAGGTGATGGAAATGGAAGACTGGAGGTTAGCAGAGAGATTGGGGCAGGTTAGGAAGATCTGAGAATCATCAGCATAGAGATGGTGATTAAATCCATAGGAGCTGATGAAATCACCAAGTGAAGTAGTATAGAGGGAGAAGAGAAGAGGGCCCATATGATATGGTTTTCAGATGCTCTTCAGTTTGCCTGTATCGCTCTTAGAGAATATAGTAAAAAGCAGAGGCATCAAACACCCAGCTGCGTTCGGCCTGCAACACTCAATGAGACCTAAATCGGATGAAAATGTAATTGGGAAATATTTAATAAAATGCAAAAAAATACTACAGGACATAGGTAATGTTAATATGTGTTTTTCTAAGTCAGTATGTGGCCTGCAGGACCTCTAACCTGTATGTACCATTTAGTGATCTCCATTTCTATTTGAGTTTGACTCCACAGCTATAGAGTACACTGTGACTAATACCTTCCTTTTTGTACTAATGCAGCCAAAATTACATTAGTTTTTCACAGCAATGCTATATTCTTGTTGGTTCATCCTGAATTTGGGGTCAACTAGGAGCTCTGTATTTTTATCACATAAAAAAGCCAGTTTTCCTCTATCCTTTACTTCTGTACTTGATTTTTTTTTTAACCAAAGTGAAGGACATGACATTGTTTAAAATAAAATTTTATTGATATATTGTGTTTTTACATCACCTACATTTCCCATTATATTCTGTCCTCCCCCTCCCTAAGAGCAATATGTTTGTTGTTATATGTTTGTTGTTTAGTCGTTCAGTCATGTCTGACTCTTTGTGACCCCCCTCTGTAGGGGTTTTCTTGGCACAGGCACTGGAGTGGTTTGCCATTTCCTTCTCTGGCTTATTTTACAGATAAGGAAACAGAGGCAAACAGGATTAAGTGACTTGTGCAAGATCACACAGTTAGTAAGTGTCTGAGGACAAATTTGAACTCAGGAAGATGAGTCTTCCTGACTCCAGGTCTGGTGCTGTACCCACTGTGACACCCAGCTGCCCCAGAGCAATATATACCTTATAACAAAGAATAAAAAAAGAGGGGAAAAGCAGTTAAGCAAAACAAATCAACGTATTGAAAAAGTTTCATCATCTTTTCAGTGCTCCACATCCATGGTCTCCTACTTCTGGAGAGAAGCCAAGGGAGGGGCCTTCTTATTCTTCTTCCTGGGGACCAGACTTGGCGATTGCAATTTCAGTTTTCAGAGTCGATTGCTTTGTTCTTGTTCTTCCCATCTCCATTGCTGTAGTCATTGCATATATAATTCTCCTGGTTCTGCTTGTTTCACTTCACATAAGTCTTTCCATGCTTCTCAGCAATTCATCCTAGTCATTGTTTCCTATGGCAGAGTAACATTCCATTCCATTCATGTGCCACAATTTGACTAGCCATTTGCCAATGGATGAGTATCTTCTTTGCCCTACTTTAAAAAAGTGCTTTTAGGAATGTTGTTATATAGAGGGAGCGATTTGACCCCTTTGGAATATATTCTTAGCGCATGAATCTCTGGTATACTTATTTTTAAAAATAAATTTTATTGATTTCCTTTGTTCTTATGCCATGCTCATTTTCTGCTATACCTCTCCCTCTTACAGTACTAACTGTAACTAATAACACTAACATGCCAGTACTGAATCCTTTCTTATCACAAATTTAAAAACAGTTAAGCAGCAATAATTGATACAGTAACCACATCTAATAGCTTATTCAGCAATTGGTCCACATAGCTAGGCTGGGTGACCCTAGGCAAGTCTCTTAACTTCTGTTTGCCCCAGTTTACCTAATGTAAAGTAGGAATAATAACAGCACCTACATCCCAGGGTTGTTGTGAGGATCAAATGAGGTAATACTTGTGAAGTGCTTAAAGGCACAGTGCCAGGCACGTGTTAAGCACTATATAAAGGGCTATTTATTCCCTCCCTCCCCAATAGCAGGTCTTCACATATATTGCTATTAAATGTCAATTTCACTTCTTGAGAGCTTCTGGAATTCTGATTTGGTCATTCCTGTTGGCCCTCTGTCCTCCCCAGCTTTATGTCCAGAGCATATTTGACAAACCTGCTTTCTATTTCTTTATTCAAGTCACTGACGCCCATGCATTATTTCTGATGTTGATGCTTTCTCTCTGAAATCTCTTCCATTTGCTCCTAGTTGCAGGTGTACTATCCCAAAGGACCCCAGCAATCACACACTGCAGTATTGGAAGGACCATAACATTGTGGCAGCGGAAACCAGTTGGGCCAACCTGACCGTCACTGTAAGCTGAGGAGCAGCTGAGCTGCCAGCTGTCAAATATACCAGCAGGGCAAGCTCTGGATTTAATTGAAAGAGAGGAAATAGGGTCACCCTCAGTTGAATTTCTTTCTTTTATTAATTATTCATGATGCCTTCTTCCTTTTAAAACCAGGAGGACATGATCCTGTAGCTCTTTTCGAAGCAGAGGAGAGAATGTGCATCTATCTCTCTGGGATTCTTTCCTTTTTGCAGGAATATTAGTAGGGTAGCTATAGCAGCTTGCATAACTCAGCCATTTAAGGACTTCCTAGTTTGGTTTTTGCCATTTGGATGTATTTTGCTTCGGGAGGGAGAAGAATGGGAGGCAGGAGGCCTTTGTACCAGCCTACTAATCCTATATTTAGGGGAGATATGGGTACGTTCTTTATTACCTGTTCCTTTGAAGTGTTCCAGTAAACAAAGGATAATAGGGATAGTTAACCCCTTATATTCCCTGTATTCTTTTTTGTCTTGGCAATATAGCTAATGAACTATAGCCCTGGTATAAGCTCTCTAGAGTACTTTGCCAGTGATTTCAGGCATAGCTCTAGCTATTGGCAGATATTAGATTGCTTCTCAGCAAGATGTATTTTAGAATCTGTACAAGGCAGCCATCCACGCACTGGCACTCCCCTCCATTCCACATCTTCTTATCAACCCCTCTTACCCAATGGGGCAGCAACTGCATGAGAAGGTGAAATACATGCCCATGGTAACCTATATTCTGCAGCAGCTGTGAGGGAAAGGTGGCCAGTGGAAAGAGGGATGGGTAGTAAATGATGATGTTGGCAAGCTGCAAATGGCGGCCTATCCTGTAGGCCGGCAGAGGTGAGGATACTGGCTAGAATGTTGAGACTGCATTTCTGGGGAATGGAAGCAGATAAATCTGCATCCTAACTTCAGTGCTTGTTTTGTGGGCTATCTTGTATTGACCTTTAATCATTCAGGATGTTTGTTTTTTCAGGAGTGTCAGGAGATGCACGGAGAATTCACTGGATCTGCCTGCGGTCGCCATGGACCTTATACACCCGATGTGCTCTTCTGGTCCTGTATTCTCTTTTTCACAACCTTCATCCTCTCCAGCACATTAAAGACATTTAAGACAAGCCACTATTTTCCAACCAGAGTAGGTAGCTGGTTTCTTAGATCATTCAAATTCACATTTAACCAGGATGTTCATTCTGGGCAAAAAATTAATTCCGCCTTATGTTCTAATGTCGAGTCAGTGGACGACAGCCTGTTCTCAGCCTCCATTCATCACTCACCCCTTGCAGCTTGCTGATCACATTCTGGGAGTGTGAGTGTACATGGGGGGAGAGGGAGAATGGGAGCAGATGTCCTATGCTGCACAACAATGTTCTCTTCTAATGGTCTTTTATCTGTTCTGTGTCTTCAAAGGGTTTTAGTGAGGGTGAATGAATTAATCTGTATATATGGTTTGGTTTAAAAGTAGATTGGTGTTTTCTGTTGTCTGAAGGCAATTGTGCTCCTCTCAACCATGTATGCTTTGGCTCCATGGAGAAGTGATCGTGCTTATAGACATAAAATAAGGAGATTTAACTGATTTTCTAAAAAGTTCCTTCCAGTTCTAAGGTCTGTGAACTCCAAATGGCATGCAATACAAGCTAGCATAGAATTCAGTGCTAACTTGAGTGACCTAGAGTGCTCTAGGAGTTCAGAGGACAGGGAAATCAGTGAGGAGTGTATCAGGCAAAGAAGGCTTCCTGGAGGTGGTGGGGCTTTGGCTAGGCACTGAAGGATTTGGACAGGCTGGTTTTCCAGAAAGACTGAACAGAACACTGAATCCAGAACACTGCAGTGTTCAGGGGTTCCCACAGAAGTGGCTGAGTTTCAGAGCTGTTAGTGAATGTATATCATTGCAATTGAAAGTTATGCTGTCTAGTGGAAAGAGCTCTGGGCTGGGAGCCAGAGGACCTGAGTTTGAATTTGACTGTGCCACTTACTGACTGAATGACTATGGGGAAGTTATTTAATCTTTTTATGCCTCTGTTTCCTCATTTGTAAAATGGGGATACTTGCCCTTCTAAGGTTATTGTGAGTAAAATGCTTTGTAACTGTGGTGAACCAACATTAAGTTCACATTAGAGTAGAGGATTCTCCCCAATATGACAGCATGAGTAGAAGTAGACCAGCCCACATTTCTCACAATTATTCTATTGAGGTGGGAAACACAGCATCAAACCAAGAAGGAAAAACGATAGTAACTGTATTTTCCTAGTTTAGGTCCAAACAAAGAGACAGCCAAAAAACTCTCAGCATGAGTGTAGGGGTAATAGCCAGCATTTAAATAGCTCTTTAAGGTTCTAAAGAACTTTACAAATACCTCACTCGATCTTCACAATAATCCTGGGAGGTAGGTGCTATTATTATTCCCATTTTACAGATGAGGAAACAGAGGCAGACAGAGGTTAAGTAATTTTAGTTTGCCCAGGCTCACAGCTAGTAAGTGTCTGAGGCTGGATTTGAACTCAGGTCTTTCTGCCTCCAGGTCCCAGCTCTCTATCCACCGCCTGGTCTAGGAAGAAATATCACAGAATCCTTTTAGCAAGAATCCATAACAGCCAGCTATGGAACTCATTATAGCTTATGGTTAAATGTAAATACTGATCTGCAAAGAATCATTTGCAGGCCTTATTGCTGTTAGTGAAATAACTCCTGGTTATGTAATCCGAGTATTGTGTGTATATGCCATATTTACTTTATGATATTTTGTTCTCATCCAGGAGTGTCTAGATAACCACTGGGTGAATGGTCTGGTAAATAACTCCCTCTTTCCATATGCACACGGCTAATTTATCTGTGGCCTAACCTCAGGGTTGTCTGTACAGAGCCAATTAAGTGGTCCCAGGATCTAAGACTGAACCAGATCCCTGCCTCTCCAACATCCAGCTGGATTCAGAAGTTAAAGCCTTCCCTTCACTGGCTTGGCCATTATTTAAATGGTCTCCAGAGATGGGGGAGAGGAAGAGTCAAGGTTAGGTTCATCAGATCATTGCCTGGCACCTTATCCTGGCCATACCTTAAAGTCCCTGGGCTGTGTGCATAAATCTTTATGTTTCATTATACTATAGAATACTGCTATAGCATTGATGTTTTATTTGGGGGATTTTGAAGCCCTTTTTAATGCTAATTTTTACATTTTCTAAGTTTCTCATCATTTCTTCCTCCAGGTACGCTCGATGGTGAGTGACTTTGCAGTTTTCCTCACCATCTTCACAATGGTGGTTCTTGATTTTTTAATTGGTGTACCATCCCCGAAGCTACAAGTTCCAAGTGTGTTTAAGGTACATAATTCACGTGATGTACATTCAGCATTGTTTGAAAGAATGTGGTCCTAAGCTGAGCTCAAAGAGCTTTTCAAACAGCTTGGCCTAGGATGAGTTCTAGAGCATCCCCCGCCCCTGCCCCCTGCACCCCTCCGACAGAACAAAAGACATTTCCAAAGACATTTTGAAAAACATTTCCTTTTAGGTCTGGTGCTAAAGAACATCATAGTTTTCCTTTTAGTCCAGAGACAATGAAAACAGACAGTTGTTTAACTAAACAATTAATTAACTAATGGAAAGGTTCTGGCAGTTGTAACAACGATGTTTACTAGTACTTCTGTTTCTTTTATTTTGTGTATTTGGTGCTAGAGTTTTAAAATCTAATGTGAAAATTTACCAAAATGGATGTCCAATAATATAAAAATGTGTGGTGGTGGAGACACTGAAACAGCTATGGACCTCATGTTTCTGATCAATCAGCAGATAGCTATCATACTGCAAGGTTTGTTATAAAGTAATGTAAGACACAGTCTGTGCACAAAAAGCTCACAGTCTAGTTGGGGAGATAGGCCATAACCTCATGAAAATATTCCACGTGACAAATGCAAAGCACAGAAAACGCTGAGTACCAGAGGAATCCAAGAAGGGAGAGATGGCTGTGGGCTGAAATGATGAGGAAAGTCTTCATGGAAGTCTTCTCTATCAGCATGTCTGCTGTAGCTGGAGAATAGGAACGCCCCCAGAACCCACTTGGTGACCCCTCTGCCCAGATCCCTGGCTCAAGTAGATGGCTGGGGGACCAGGGGCAGAGCCCCAACTGCCATATCTCTGCCCCAGGCTGTATCAACAGGGAGGTGGAGAGAGAGGATATGAATGTGCCAGTTATATCATAACAGAGTTATTCGTAGGACAATCATAAACATGATAAAACAGTTAAGCCTTTCCAGAGTTACTGGCTTGGGAAAGGAGGAAAAGAGGGTGTATTCTCTAACTCATAAATACATACTTACAAGAGTATGTATATACAAATGGCTCCTGTCCATCCTGACCACCACCAAGCCCTTCCTCCAAAGATCCTACTGCTATAGTCAGAGAGGAGAGACAGCTTTTAGAGGACTCATGGGTGCTCATGAAATTCAGGAGAAGCCTAGGTGAGAAGAGCCCCCAGGGCCGGTCTCCCAGGTAGGCCTGGCCTTCCTAGGAGGAGGACAGATTCCTCAGTGCTAAAATGCCTTTCCCTTCCCTTAAAATTTTGCACTCCACCTTCCACCAACTGAGAATACATTTTGGTTAATAAGCATCCTCTTTTAAAGGTTTAAATTCTTGGGGCAGCTAGGCGGCGCAGTGGATAGAGCACCAGTCCTGGATTCAGGAGGACCTAAGTTCAAATCTGGTCTCAGACACATAACACTTACTAGCTGTGTGACCCTGGGCAAGTCACTTAACCCCATTGCCTAACCAAAAAAAAAAAAGTTTAAATTCTTCTGGAAGAGTTATGGGGCTGTCAGTCACTCAGTCACTTACCTCTTAGGGTGCCATTGGATTGCTTTTAACCTAGCTGAAAGCTGCTGTACTGAAGGAATGGGAGTTTGGGTTGATTGATCAGAGTGTACTTGAAGGAGGAAGCAGCTGTCTGCTAGAGATCTCCACTCCCAGCTGTCCTTCCACTTGCTCGCTCCCTGGGAATCCCACATGCTATTCACTCTTTCCTTAAGATGTCATCATAGCTCTGGTGGCCTTTGAAACGAAAATCTTCGTCCCCAATCATCTCACCTGGCTGGGATGCCAAATTCATAGTTATCTAATGCTGCTGCCCATCTCTGGCAAGTGTCTAACTTGGCACTGATCAAAGTTTGTCAGCAGATTGTTGTCAGACCACATTTGCTGTTTAACTCCAGACACATAATCTATGAATTTTTCTGTGACAAAGCACTTCAAAGGCAAGGATTCCAGCTTATACATGGCACCCTGAGCTGCACCGTCCTCTGCTGGAAAGCACATTTGTTTTCTGGTGACCATCACGCTGAGTACCAGACTTCTCACAAGCCTACCAGGCTGGCATCTACATGCAGGGCAAAGCATCCATAACACATTAGCTCCAAGGTCCTGGAACCAGGGTGTGGATAAATTAAGCTGCCCTTACTCCCAGTGCTCAAAGGAAGCTACTTGTACCAGTTCTGACATGATCTGTAGCTAGACAGAGAAAAGAAGAGAGGGAGAGAGGGCAAGGAGAGAGACAACCCCTTTTTAAAAGTCCAGTGAGTTGGCTTTTCCTGCTGAGTGGCCAATAAAGGGATTGCTTTCTCCTAAAGCACCCTTCAGCCCTAAGTCACACAAGGCAGGAAGCAAGAGGGGCAGCTTTACACATGCTCCAAGAGCCCCCCACTTACATTTCTAATGCTGAAATGGTTTCATGTTCTAGAGTACAGTAAGAATACTTCTTATTGTGTGTATATGTATTATGGTAAAGGCTTGAAACCTCCACTGGAAGATGTTTTCCCACAAGTAAAGAGTAAATGACATGGGGTGGAGATGTAGGGGCCAGGGTTTCAAACGTGGGCCCCAGCTCTTACCTGGAATGTTCCTGGAGAGCTCCAGAGAATATTCGTGAGTCTGCCAAAGAGCCACCTGGAATCAGGCAATGTTCAATGTCAACTCTATCTCTAAGTATCTTGGAGTTGTAACATTTAGTATCAAGGTAAGGGAAGGAAAAAGGAAGAAAATAAGCACTTATATAGCATCTACTATGTACTAGGCACTGTGCTAAGCACTTTACAAGTATTATTTCATTTGATCCTCACAACCACCTTGGGAGGTAGGTGCTATTGTTATTCTCAATTTATACATGAGGATACTGAGGCAAACAGAGATTAAGTGATTTGCCCAAGGTCACACAGCTAGTAAGTGTCTGAGGCAGGATTTAACCTCAGGTCTTCCTGACTTCAGGGCCAGCACTCTCCATCGCACCACCTATCATTCATTACCTGTGAAATTAAGCTTAATTCTATGAGTTTGGTGCAATTGGACCAACCTTGGGAATGCAGCAACCCCAACAACTATTCACTTCACTCCATCCACCTTCACATGATGCTTCTCCCCTAGACAGTAACTATAGTCTGCACAGTATGTAAGGCCAGATTACCTTTGCAGTTGGTTGTATAGATGAACTATACGGCACAGTCGACTGCTATAAATATCATAGTATGTGTGCTAATAGAGGGGATCTGAGAGGCGAGTAGTGGTTATTTGCATTTAGCTCTGGAATATGTGGTAATTTTTTGGCAACATATTTGCCTTCATAATTATATTTTTACTTATGCTAATAATAAAAAATCTGGCTACATTCTGAGTACATAAAGTTTAGAGAGGGGATGCCAGGGAGTTGAGAATATGCTGAATGGTACATAAAAGTCAGGTTAAAATTCCATATGGGAATTCACATTCCCTTTTCTATGGGTAATCTACAAAGACAATAACTTGTTTATGGCTGGGAATTGACTCATTTAAGGGAGATTTGGAACAAAAATCAAGGGTTTGAGAAGAAGTTAAAGTATTTGATACTTTTCAGGAGTCTCAGGCAATATTGAAGAGAAAAAGTCTTAGAGAGACTAAGTCTCAAAGAGACTTTTGCACTAATTATTTTTGCTAATTTAAAATACAAAAATAAAGCCTTATTTTCTTCTTTCTTTTTCTTTTAGCCAACACGGGATGACCGGGGGTGGATTATCAATCCCATTGGACCCAATCCCTGGTGGACTGTGATAGCTGCAATCATCCCAGCTCTCCTCTGCACCATCTTAATATTCATGGACCAGCAGATCACAGCTGTCATAATTAATAGGAAGGAACATAAGCTCAAGGTAATAAGAGTGTTGGTCTATAGAGGATCCATGGGAGTCTCCTCATGTGAATATGTTGATTAATTTTAGTATGTGTGCATGCAGACCTCAGGCATTTTAGGATTTGGTAGATAGTAAGGCTCCATAAAATTATGGAGGAACTGCCAATAACTGGAGGGATCTCACACATCTCTGGTTCATCAGTTGATGAATGGGGCCAGCTTTAGGATTTAGTGCATGGGAAGAGTGTGTGTGTGTGTGTGTGTGTGTGTGTGTGTGTGTGTGTGTGTGTG